ATATCTTACCTATACTTTTCAACACCTCCTTAGAATAACTGGACTAATATTACCGGTAACTGAAAAAAACTATGGAAAGGCTCAACGCAAAAGCGAGCAGTTGAGTACATCTGATATTCATCCGACCACTGGGGATCCACCTACAGCTGACTAACTTGACTGTTACGTCGTGCAGAAGTCTGCGTTCATTGGCCCATGATACCGGAAAAGCAGAGAAAATAGGACAGATGGTAACACATATTTATTGTAGTAAAAGCGTCTTTTCTGTAAAACGTGCAACTTTTGGAAGTGGGAACAAGGCAATATTTGTTACTAAATTTCTAAGGAACTTTTTAAAATCATTTTCAGGTAGTTACCTGATGTGCGCTACGAAACTGAAAGATAAATGGCCTCGGCTCGCGGCCTACTAATTACAGTAGATTTAACTCACAGCCTAACAAATCATTTCACTGACCAAACACTGCTTTTGTCCCCGGCCACCACTTTTACTTGGTGGTTATCATTTATGTGAAATGTTGTACTGTATGAGGCATGAGGCGCACTGTAAATAAATGGCCCAAATTAGATTGGGTTTTTATTCACACATTACGCCAGGGTTACCCAAACTGGAGTCCACGGTATAAAAAGATTTGATCAATTTTTAATGATTGATTTCAATCGAAAAGGCATAGCATTTTTTGGTTGAGTGTTGCGGAATATCCATTATTGTCAGAAAAGTCAACAAAAATTTTTTGCCTTTCCCAACGACCTACATGTGTGCGGCAAAATTTTAAGCTTTCAGCAATATGATGAAAAATACGGGTCGATACTTGTCCGTCATAAATTGCTCCGAAAGTTGATGATTTATAAAAAGCAACCTCATTCATCACATTAATGCCGTTTGCAAGTGAAACATTATCCTTCCTCGTTGGTTGGGCACAGGGATTGATACGGCATGGGTTGGGGGTCCGTCAGAACTAAGATTTGTCACGAACCATAGTTTCCGTGTTTTTGTTGTGTGTATATATATTTTTATGTTTATAAACTGTTATGTTGACCCTTATTTAATGCTGTTTTGTTGGATCTGGACTCCGACCACTCACTACACGTGAGAGAAAAATCATGTCTTTCGCTCTCTTTCTCCGATCGCTGCGCTGGTCGGCCGTGTTCTCTGTTCTTCAGTGATGTTTTGTTTGGCTGTTATATGCTTTTAATTGTGGAGTTGTTGTACAATAAACAACCATTCCGGAACCCGTGAGTCTTCTGAATCATCTTCAACCACAGTAGACAACATCTTTCTATCGTGACAGATTCACGATTGAATTTCAAATTTGAAAAACCCTGCTTAGGCGCAGCGGCTTATTAGGCGCAAGATCGATTTTTAAGAAGAAAGGCATTCAAAGTGCGCTTTATGTCCGTAAAATATGAACTAGGCACATACGTCAATTATTTTGGGTTATCTGGTTGTTGGTGCTTATAAGATAAGCGAACAAGCTTATTAGCGTCTTAAGTATCATTTTAGGTTTTGCTCGCTTGACTTGTAGCGTTGGTTCGGATATCATTTTCACAAAGCAATTGAATGTTTCAATGTTATATTCAAATGTACAATCTTTCCTCTAGCTTAATTCACTCTACTAGTTGCAGAAAAAATCAAAACAAAATGGCGGAAATACGCTCGATGTATCGATATCGGTATTTCCAGTTCGAATTTGCGTGTCTGAGATATCATTCTTCTAGTTAAGTGGTTCTCAAACGGTACGGGGCGCCCCACAAGAGGAGTGTAGACAATCTTTTAAGGGCGGGTGAAGCTAATTAACACTATCATGCCTTTGCGAGTAGATACCGGAATCGAAATTAGCCGGTACGCGTGTCGCCAAATTTTTTTATATAGAAATAATTAAATAGGTTATCCTGGAGAGTTAAAACAACTTTTCAATTCTTCGAATATTTCAATAACTTTATGCACGACAGGTACCATAATAATAACACCTGGGGTTTCCGTACTGCAATAGCTGTTGATACTCGTAACGACAAAATTGCAGAATGATTTTAGTTCTGTTATTCGAAAAATGTAAATATAAAAATATATTTAAGCATTTTGGGAACGGCACTTTATTCGTAAACGGGCAAAGTATCCGCGACATGATGGTGAACTCAGTTTCAAAAGAAAAGGCTTCACTTCATCTTGAAAATACATAGGAAGTCAACCTTCATTATAATAAAATTTGTTCGGTAAATGGAGTGGGTATAATAGACGGACATATTTAAACTCTGAAAGACAGCAATAAAACTTTTTTGACAAATATGTGTTCCGAAATGGTTCCCGTTGTGTATATTCTGAACAAAAGATAGGGTTTGTACTCTTCATTTCCGATTTACACCATACTGCGCATTCGGAGGTACAATAAGCAAACCGACCTAGCGAGACGGTTCGATTCGAAAATTCTGAAGTTATATTACAGAATTCCGGTAACCAATTTGCCGACCCTTACAAAATCTTATATTATTCTTTTATGTTCTCTTTATTTTCGCTTTTCTAAATTTATTGGACACGTTTAGTGGACATAACGATCGTTTTGTTGTTATGTTGTTCTTTGACCCGTTTTGACGAAATCGCTTTTCTCTTTGATTACTGGACCAATTGCTTTGAAATTTTCAGTGGTTAAAGATAAAAATTTTCTTCAGAAGGCTATTACTTTTGTTGTTGCTATGACGTCATCAAAATTATTGCCATTAGGTTGCGCTACGTGTCCATATATTTGAGCATAGCCCTCTTGTTTTGTCCTTGTGATTGTATGTATGTGTGTGTGTGTGTGTGTTTTGCTCAACTCAATACTTTTGGGTGAGCGAAGGTGTGTATAGGATATGACTTATATATTTATCCCGGGGCTAAGCCATCTTTTTCTATGTGAAGAACCACGGCCGCTTGTCCGGTTACCATTCCATGTCGGGTATGGGATTATTATTTTTTTTTTTTTTGGAAGCATGGACTTGATGGTGAAGATAGCCGTAACCGACCAGCGGTTACGTGAACCACCCTACAGCGGCTAGCAAACCTCTCGCACATAACCATCCCCGCATGGGATGCGAACCCACGCAGAGTTATCAGAGGTGCGGTGTCGATCTTATCCCTAACGCTTACCACGATAAGCCACACCGCCGCGCCATTCCTTTCGACAACACCTTTCACTCAATCTAACATCTGTATGTTTTGAACTTCTTATTCGCTTCCTTGATTTTATCATCAATTATACTTTGTTATTATTAAATATTTCATGCTGAATATGGGGTCATAACAAACTTATACTATAATATGAAAATCCTGTGCTATACTCCTACCATGTTTACCCAAGCGTATCTGATTACGTAATGCACAGTAACGAACTTCGCCATGTGTCAGTCATGCTTTTCTGTTTTGTTGCTCAGGAATTTGCGCTGTGGCTGTGTGTGGTTTGAGTTCTGGTAAAGCCGGTTGGTTGACATAGGTAACTTATGAGATGGTAATGGTAAGATAGTTTAGTTAACCTAATTCTTGTGGATAACAATGATGCGTATTTGTAGGGCATAGGAACCGTACCGGTACCGGTACTGTGTTAGAATGATCAGTTTACAGGGTACGGTACCGGTAACCTATTCTCAACCATAAATACCCATGACTTCAAGAAATACACACTACATAACTAGGTCTTGGCGATGTGGCGCATTGTGCTGAGCGGTAGGAATCCGTTCGCCACTGCACATTTGATTAATCTGTGTGGGTTCGAATCCCATACCGTGTAAATTATGTGCAAGATTAATGCTCTACTTCCTGCCAGTGCCACTGTGGTAAGGTTCAGGTAACCGCTGATCGGTTGGAACTTTCTCTACCATCAAATCCATGCATCTGAAAACAAATAACTGGCTAACTAATTTAATGATGATGCTATAAATTGACTGAGATTTACAAGTGCAGTTTTAAGTATTCTGTGGCGTCTGCAGCTGCCTCAAAACCATGGCGGTATTTCCATACCATGGCCGCTACGGCCAAACCCATGGCTGTATGGCGACTGAATTTTTAGCTGCCACAAACCAATGACGAGCTGCCGTTACCGCGGCAGCAAAGTGAAAACCAATGGCAGGTAAAATTTTGCTGCCGTAACCACGGCAGGTGGGCCATAAAGACAGGGCTGTCCCTTATGGTGACAAATATTGAGTAAGTTGAACGTTTTTCTTATGAATACCGACTTGATAGATTTGAGGTTAGGGTTTAAGTAGATATAATTCCACATGATCATGGGCGCGGCAGTGTGGCTCAACGGGCTAAGCGTTAGGAATACGCTCACTACCGCACCTCTAATTAATCTGCGTGGGTTCGCAGGTTTGAATCCCTTGCAGGGATGGTTATGTGCGAGAGGATTGCTGGACTCCTCGCCGTCGTTGGTGGTTCACGTAACCGCTGGTCGGTTACGGCTTCCTCCACCACCAAGTCCATGCCTTCGAAAACAAACAATATAACTAATCCCATACCCGACTTGGAATGGTAACCGGACGAGCGCCGTGGTTAGCCATATGGATGAGCCGTCTTATCGGCTTTCCTCTCCCCCAGGATAAATATGTAAATCATATCCTATCAATTAAAATCCGGTACATTAATTTGTGAATATACTGGTAATACTGAATAGCGCTATAAAACCATGCAAGAGCTGCGCGGATCGTTCGTGGCAGGAGCTGCCATGAAGTGGTAAGAACTGCGCCTCTAGATTTATGCAAGTATGGTCCCAATTTAGAATGTAAATGGAGCTGTTACTTATCCGGTTTCACCCCATTGATACATGTTCGATTTGCACTTGTCAGTGGTATTTCATTCCCAATTAGTTCTCCATAATTTTCAAGGGTTTCAATCATTTTTGTCAATTTCGTATGTTTTGTTTACTGGATGGAAAAAAGTAAACTAGACTATGACATAAGCATATTTCAATTATTTAGTATATCCAGCAAGTTTGCCTAAAAATAGGTCTTTCTATATTTCTGAGTGAGTGTATATTTGTTTCCAGCATATCTCATAATTCGTTCAGAAAATCAGGTACTAAGCCTGGATTTACATGAAAAAATTCTTAACGAAAGTGAACCTCGTTTCGGGATTTTCTAGAACAAACCAGACCAGACTCTGTGTTGAGTCAATTGTTGGTGCCAAAATGAGTGGAAGTCAAAGGCCAGATGTCAATGGACATGGGTCAACGAACAGCATGGGGAAAATATACAGGTTGAATAAAAACAATGATAACTCTGATATTATTGAGAAATTAGTCAAAATTTTACAGCAAGGGGGGGTCATTGCGTTGCCAACGGATACACTATATGGGGTCGGTTGTCTTGCGCAATCATCTGAAGCGATTGAAAAAATTTACAAACTAAAAGGTCGCGACCTTTCCAAACCAATAGCAATTTGTGTCGGGGAGGTTTATGATGTATTTCAATGGGGAAAATTCCCTAAATTACCTGGCAGTAAAGAAGGGGGGGATAATATGACCGATCGACCGATTGAAATTTTAAGTGACTTACTCCCCGGCCCTGTGACGATTGTAACGGAACGCACTCCCGCCCTCAACATGGAATTAAATCCTGAAACGCAATTGGTCGGGATTCGCGTTCCAGATCACCAATTTATACGAGACTTAACAAACAGACTAAAAGAACCGCTTGCTTTGACGTCAGCAAATCTTTCTGCATCAATGAGCCCGTTATGCATCGATGATTTTGACTATTTACACCAAAAATTGGACGCTATAATTGACGGAGGTCATGTCGGACTTATAAACGGTTTACACAGTGCGTCGTCACGACAAGGGTCGACCGTATTTCGAATCCAACAAGATGGAAAATCCTTCAAAGTGCTTCGACCGGGATGTGCGTATGAGCAGACTGTTCATACATTACAGGAAAAATGGGGAATCAAGCTCTCACCATGACTACGTGGCATGACTGATAACTAAATCCAGTCTATTTGTTTTTCTATGGGTCTTGACTATCGTAATATTGCTTGGTATTTGACTACTGTCTTCCAACTCTGAGAAAACCAGATTTTAGCCTTATTCTCAGTAACACTTAGGTTTCGTTTTTAAGTTTTTGCCAGAATATTCAACTCCTATCGTCAGAAATTTTGACTCTCATTTGTTGAAAACTACAATTTCCCGCTCTCCACACTTTTGACTTGCAAAAAACTAATAGCTCACAGACCCTCTAGATTTCTCTCTCATTACCCTGGGGCTTTGAACAGAGCATTTGAGAACCTATGTCATACATAGTCCAAGTAAAATTACTTGCTTTTATTGGTTATAATTAACAATTAATAAAAAAGCCTGCAAATAATAAATGGAATTTGAGGGAGTCTTGAAAGGTAAAACCTGACTCCGGACTATTGAGAAATTCAAAAACGATTATGAACCAGGTTAACAAAAATTTTGCTTCGGCTACTAACTTTCTGAAAACAAATATTCATTTTTTTCGTTTATCGTAGGGCATTTTTATTACACATTTTCAAATTTTTTCTGTGGCCCTTTTAATTTTGGTTTTGAGATGAATTGAGTTACACCTACTACTGCACTGAATTTCTGTCCATACATTTCGAATTGTTCCCAGGTATCAAGTTTGGTCCTGCCAAAATTATCATCATTACAATATTTTAAATAAGTGAGCTGTCTTCAGGCTTCTATCCATATATTTTTTTCATTTCTCTCGAATAGCGTAATCTTGCAATTTGTTTATTGCCAAGTTTTCACTCTCTTTTTTTTGAATATTTTTGCTTACTTTTTTATTTTGTTTAGAAATATTGCATTTTTTCCTCCTATGGGTCTGCCAGAGGCTCGAGAAAGCAAGGGATAATCCAGCGGGTACAAAAATTTAGACAGTGGCCTCTGAAGAGCTATGAAAAATTGTTTTTATTTTTGGAAAGTGAAATTTTAGAATATCAAACTGTCTCAAAATGGGCACATAATTTTTAATAATTGTTTCAAGAGAGAAAATGTAATAAAATGGCACAATTCCCCTCCATGGTACTTTGATTCAGAGCCATTTGTAAGGATTTTCCGCTGTGTATTAGGAATTTTTGGGTTCGCAGTTGGATGTATTTTTCCCCCAAATCCACAGCCACTAAATTGTTCTATGATTGACATCTGGTGTCGAATTCCAAATTTAATGATCTTTTCAAGGTTCTTTTATCAGTGGTGGCAATTGATTTTCTGAGTGAGCCAGTTTCAAATAATAGACTTGGTTAGTATGCTGGAGAATTAAAACTTGATATGAAAACCAGTGGGCTGGATAAAACATCGATGGGCCGAATACCGCCTGCGGGTCGTAGTTAGCTCACTTCTGGCTTTTTGTGTGTTTACTGAGATTCCACAACTCCTTAAATAACAGATTTGAAACAATTTATCCGCTTTATGCAGAAGAACTGAGTAAAGTTAGTGGTACTACTATAGCCTGAGCATAACCCATCTTTAGTTCAGTGTTGTTCAAACCTTTTTCTCGGAGTATGTGTACCATGTGACCATCGCTCTATTTCAGTGATGGTAGCCTGTAGTACTGGTTTCAAATTGTATTGATATTTTGTTTCAACACAAATCCGTGTCATGTGCCAAAAAGATTTTACTGCGCCTCCATTGAGCAAACCCAGGTATTGGGACCCCCTGAAGAGTCCTGTCTTAATTGGTATCACTCTTACATTTTTTAGTCAATGGAAAAATTTAATTTGTTCGTAGTTTTGAATATTATTTTGATTGTGACTCAACAATTCTCCATTGACTGTAAATATTTTTTTCTTTTTTCATAGACTTGCAAAGACGAGATCTTTTTTTCTGCCTTGTTTACCTATTGCTTTGACTTATTTTCATGTTTTTTTAATTTCTTGACAATGTACGGTTTTCTAGAATAAAGTGGGATCGAAATGTTTCTTCTGTATTTCTTCAATTTTATTGCATTTTTATGTAAGCGAATCCCCAGCCTGTTGAACTTTAGTGGAAAGAGCAGTGTTTGATCTCTATAAACTGTGAACCAAACTGGAGTAATGGACTAATCGAGGGATGGCGAACCACTGACCCACGTTTTATTCGTGACCCTCCCAAGGCACGAATAAAATTAATAAAAAGAATGCTAAAACCGGCCTTAAATTAATCTAACAATAACTAAACTATTACAATATACCGTCAGTTGGGCATTCAATGCTGCAATCGCTCATATATAACTTGTTAATTTATGGCCGGTATGGTAATTTTCAAAATCCCTAATCTTGGACGCCAAAAATTAGAGTTCTGAGTCTGCACTCTGAGTTTAAACTGCAAAACAACGGCCATCTGAGTCCCTACAAAACTCTGATCACGACAACCATTAAAGTAGGCTACTCCTGAAGTATGCGTACCAGGTTAGGTTTAGGCCATATTTTTCTTTGAGTAATAAAAATTTTTGGTGCTCCCGAAGTACGAACCAAGATGGCGGACATCGGAACGTAACATGGGTAACAGGTTAGGGTTAGGCCATAATTTTTTTCCAATTTTCCTTATTTTAGTCCTATTATCAGTTCGAAGACTAGCCAAGAGCCTCCCGTAGTGTTTATACCTAAAATTATGGCCTAACCTTAACCTAGTACACATATTACATTCCGATGTTCGCATACTTCGGGAGCCCCAAATTTTTGCCAGCTCAGGGACTGGCTGTGTGAGCCAAGTGAATATCTCTGTCTATAGGTGTCGGTCTCTTCACACAAATTGATGTAAATGGGTAAACAAAATTTGTTACCCATATTGGTACTCATACTTCAGGAGCGCCACCAGTCAATTCAAGTAACTGAGTCTCAAAAGACAACATTGCAATGATTAATAATTGTTGTGATAGAATTTACATATTAATCCCGGGGAGAGGAAAGCCGATAAGACGGCTTAACCATATGGCGAACTCCATGTCGGGTATGGGATTAGTTAATTGTTTTTGGAAGTATGGACTTGATGGTGGAGGCAGCCGTAACGGACCAGCGGTTACGTGAACCACCCTACGACGGCGAAGAGTTTAGCAATCCTCTCGCACATAACTATCCCGCATGGGATTCGAACCTGCAAATCCACGCAGAGTAATTAGAGATGCGGTGGCGAGCGTATTCCTAACGCTTGGCACGATGAGCCGCGCCGCGTGACAGGATTGAGAGTTTGACTTTGCAGCATAAGCGAGTCGTGGGGGCAAGTCAAAAAAAATATTTTAGACATTTTTTTATCGTGGCATTTGCGGTTAGGCACACGGTACGTCTTTTCTTGCTTTTTGCTATGATAGTGAGGGATTTTGACGTACAATTAATTGTTCGTCTGAATGAACCAACCGATATACATGAAATTAAATTGTGCACTCGTATTCCAGTCAGTCAGTAGTTTATTGTATATGTATTATATAGCATGGTAATTTCCACAGCAGAGTAAGTCGCTACGGAGGTTCTGATATCGTTAGATATCAGTGGCTTGTCGTGTCTGGCCTCGTTCCGAGCGAGAGGTGCGAGTAAGCATCGTTCGGATTTTTTTTTTGGAGTGGGTGCCGCCAAGCAGGCCGAATGTTGGTCACATGTATATAATTGTATTACGCGATGTTGGTTGTTTAACTACCACAGAACGGCGCGAGGATTGAGTAAAATAAATATATGCGTTTCATTTGACGACAAATGTATGATTAACGATACACAAAGACCACGTATTTTGCCCTCGGCGCCTACTTGAAACAGAAACGTTTTTACGTACGTAGGTACTTTTTGATGATTTCATCGGTGTTTTGAATCGAATAAATGAATGTTTCAAGTGAAATCGCCTACAGCCCTACACAAATAGGCGAGAGCTAAGTTCATTTCTACCTATTCGATTCAAATTGTTTACTGCCCATGCACTAACACAAATGTGTTTCTGAAACGTATTACCGAATCTGATCGAGACCAGGATTAAATTACGTTTGTCTGAAGAATTCTGACCCCGTCAGACGAAACGTTACAGAAATATATTTTTTTGGGTTAGTATTTAGCAAGACTCTTGAATTACTTAGAATAGTCATTTACACAATATCTTCGGGTTATAAAAATACGGATCTAGCAGCGCTAAAGCATAGAAGAAAGGTAGGTAGGGATTATATTTGTGTTAGTGTGCAGCAAGACTCTCGAATGACTTAGAATATAAGTATAAGTATGAGTTTATTTCGACTCCATAATCAGCATAACAATACATTTGACAGATAAAAACAAATAAATAAAAACTGATTATGAAATCAGGCGAGCAAACAAAACCTTAGATAAGGTTTATAACGTACAAAATATAAGATGGAAGGTTTTGCCAAGAGGAAGTAGTACGTGTTATCTCACCTTAAATTATTAAGTTATTTCACACACGCTCACATGCACCCACCAGACACACACACACACAACCACTGAGAAGTTATTTAAGTAAGAATAAAACGCGATAAATTTAGGGTATTACTCTTCCTAATTCCTTGCGCAGCATCCTTGTACGCATACAGTTCCATAATCGCTAAAACAAAAGAATAAGTAGTTAGCCCAGGGGGAAGGGTAGTTTTAGAAGTCGAAACCCCCCTCTCGAACTAATAAAAGCACTTTCCTGTATCATACATATAAATTCTTAAATCGCACAGAATAGATCATTACTCTAGCTACAGTATTTTTATTTGAGTCAAATAATTGCTTTGTGTGTTTTTGTTTTCGTTTTGATTTCTAGATACCGTCAATTGCCACGTCATTATCATAGTTCAAGCACGTGTATATACGTAAAAATTTAGTTTGGTATCTTAACAATTCGGGATCTTGATTATACAATACCCTCACGGGCGATCCCCTCTCCTGACTCGCGAATATTCTTCAGTTTCTAATTTTGATCTGTAATCAATCACCTTTGGGAATCACTGACATAGAGCAAGAAAAGGTAGTTACTTTCGTGTAACCCCAACCTATATATTCTCCATATTTTCAAGGGGGGCGTTAGGAATACGCTCGTCACCGCACCTCTAACTACTCTGCGTGGGTTCGCAGGTTCGAATCCCATGCAGGGATGGTTATGTGCGAGAGGATTGCTGGACTCCTCGCCGTCGTTGGGTGGTTCACGTAACCGCTGGTCGGTTACGGCTTCCTCCACCACCAAGTCCATGCTTCCGAAAACAAACAATACAGTAAAACTAATCCCATACCCGACTTGGAATGGTAACCGGACGAGAGGCCGTGGTTCGCCATATGGATAAGCCGTCTTATCGGCTTTCCTCTCCCCCGGGATAAATATGTAAATCCTATTCTATGCTAAATGGAACTATGAATCATTTTGTTGTTCTTGTTGGTATTTTTCCTCTCGTTGTTACTGTATGACAAAAAAGTCGCCTTTCTCATAACTACTGGTTTTATACCCACCTTATACCAATTTAATTACCTGGATATTAGAAATTCAAAAATGATCAAAATAGGGTAGGTTTACATATTTATCGCTGGGGAGAGCAAAGCCGATACGACGTCTTAATCATATGGCGAACCACGGCATCTGGGTATGGGCTTAGTTAGTCATTTGTTTTTTGGAAGCATGGACTTGATGGTGAAAAAAGACGTAACCGAGCAGGCCTTACGTGAACCGCCCTACGGCGGCAAGGAGTCCAGCAATCCTCTTATACATAACCAACACTAAATGGGATTCGAACCTGCGAACCCACACAGGGTAATCAAAGGTGCGATTGCAAGAGTATTTCCAACGCTTAGCACGATGCGCCGCTGAGCTTTTTTGATTTCCTTTCATTTCAGTTTCAGAAAATAATGAAATTCATAATAGCTGCGACCTTCCTATTGCTGGGATCTGCGTTTGCACAAATTCCAGGTATGAAGAAAGTTAATTGTATTGTTTAATTTTATTTTACACGAATTGGATCTATGGATCGTTTTTACTTATCGATTTTAATAGGTAAGTATGTTGATAGGTATTTGTCTGTTTGTCGGTCTGTTAGTTGCACGCGATATCTCACGAAAGCGAGGTTGAATCTGCTCCAGATTTTTCATGCGCATTCATCATATGTCGTACCAGAAGCCTATTGATTTTGAATAAATTATGTAGTATAATTAGCGAGTTATTATTTAATTAGTGATGGGACACAAGGTGTCACTATGGAGTAAGAGATTGAATCTGCTCCAGATTTTGCATGTGCATTCATCATATGTCGTACCAGAAGCCTATTAAGTTCGATAAGTCTTCGGTCTTAGATTTACCTCGATAAGTCTTCGGTCTCTGACCGATATTCTCGTTTATTATTATGTTGTTGTGTGTTTTCTTCTTGTTGTCGTGAAAAAAAAAATCGTTTTTTTTTTCTTTAACTGTTGGACCAATTGCTTTGAAATTTTCAGTGGTTAAATGGTGTTGTTGTCGACATAGAGATATTACTTTTATTACTGTTATTTTTGGTATTTAAGTTCTGCTATTAATCAAAACTATCCAAGGTTCTATAGTATATGAGATCGATTTCCCCTTTGTAATTCTGTGTGGTGACGTCATCAAAATTATAAACGATATGGTGGTCAGTCGAAATCGGAAGTTTTTTGATAAGACGAACCGTATTGGTTTGATTCTACTATGTTTTGGTAACACAGTTAAGTCTAACTCTTTGCCTTTTGTGTTGTCTTAGATTTTTATTTATATTTCATGTCTGTTGTCCTACTATAACGTCCTAAACTGCTGTTATACTTGTTGGGGTGCATGTCGCACATCTGTATCTTAGGCCAGTATAGTCTTGAACATGTATCCTGTCTCTGTTATACTGTTTAATTGGTACTCCCGAAGTATGTGGACCAAGATGGCGGACACCGGAACTTAGTATGTGTGCCAGGCTATGGTTAGGCCATAATTTGTTTTCAATTTTCCTCATTTTAGTTCTATTACTAGTTCGGGGACTAGCCAAGTGACTCCCGTAGTATTTGTACCTAAAATTATGGCCTAATCCTAACCTGGTACACATACTACGTTCCGGTATCCGCCATCTTGGTTCACATACTACGGGAGTACCGTATATTATTACGCAGATACTGTTATATTTTTGAGGCAAATAAACATACTTACATTTCAGTAAGTGTTATCACCGAGTGGTCACAGAACGATCAATCATCCGCCGGTGCCATCATTAGCTTGGTATACCAAGGACTGAAGGATGGAACCTGTTTTGTGCAGTTACCGAATGCTGTCAACATGTTCCACGTTAGTATACTTGCTATCCAGCTAAAGTATTGTATACATAGATATATATATATAACTTTAAATATTCGTCCAAATCAAGTTATTATACGATGCCCTGTACAAGAGGTCACCGATGTCTAACGATATGTGAAAAAGCGGGGCATGTTCACCAGGGGAGTAGCTGGGATTTTTCAAAGGGGGGGCGGGGGGGGGGGGGGGCTGAAATTTGTAATTGCCCCAAAATGCGAGTTTCTAAGAGGAATGATGTTCTAAAAATTGTTATGTGTGATACAGATTGTTTTTAGAAATCGAAACTGAATATGTCAGGATTCGCCAGGAACAAGGGCTTCAAATGGAAATTGCGGACTTATTCGGTCACAATCACGTCGCTTCTACTTGACGGCATCCGGAGACGGAGCCATTAAGTTCTTCCAGCATACCTTATCCCTATAAACATACCGTAACTGATTTTATCACAAATACTTGTTTTACAGAAAACCGCTCTTGCGGCGAAATTTCCCCAGGTGACATTTCCTATGCAGCGAAATTTCCTGCGGCGATTTTTCCTATGCAGCGAATTTTCCTGCGGCGACATTTCCTATGCTGCGAAATTTCCTGCGTCGTGTTTTCTCACGGTGAAATTTCCTGCGGCGACATTTCCTATGCTGCGAAATTTCCTGCGTCGTGTTTTTTCACGGTGAAATTTCCCGCGGCGATTATTCCTATGCGGCGAAATTTCATATGGTGGAATTTCCTGCGACGAGATTTTCTACGCGAATTTTCCTATGATGCGAATTTTTCGGACACGCTTTTCACACGCTTGGCCTTAGTGGTCATAGCGCTGGAATCCGAGATGTGTAACCTCCTGCACCAACACTGTTATTAAATCAAACCCTTTAACCACTGAGCCACCGTAAAATGATGTTCTTGGAATTTTCACAGGTAGTGAACGGTCACATTATTCCCGACGGTTCGGATCCTGAATACGGTTTTTATAAGATCACAGCCCCAGCTGACTGGGAAGCCATGAACGGCACATTCAATGCTTTGATAATCTTCAATAGAAACAAGGTGTTCAGTTTTGCAGGTGTGTCTTTCACATGTAATCCTGAGGACGTGGAGTACGGTAAGTTATTTAGGCAAATTTTTTGGACACAAAATGGAGTTATGGTTCGATTTGTTGTTGTTGCGAAAAAAATCGATTTTCTCATTAACTTCACGACCAATTGCTTTAAAATTTTCAGTGGTTGAAGATTGTATTTTTCGTTAGAAGGGTATTACTTTTATTTCAAAAAAAGATTTTGTGGGATATATTAGAATTCGTTTGTTTTGTGGGCTATGAAGTCATCAGGATTGAAAATTGCGCACCTTGCGCGTCAGCTATCTTGTGGTCAAGCGAAGTCGTGAAGACTACGGTACCGGTACTGTAACATATCGCATACCCCAACTAAATCGATTCGGTCTTTATGTCCGTATATTAGAGCATCGCTCTCTTGTCTAAATAGATGTTTATTCATATAGTTCGTACCGTATAAGGGCATGAACAAACAGCCACCGGTGGGAACTCAAATCGGCAGGAACGTCAATAAAATTTGAAATTGCGCGACTTGTGGCGGGTGAGGCGTTTGCATCAGCAATCTGGTGATCAGGCGAAGCCCGTACTACTTCGTTTCGGCTCAAATCTTTCCGGCTGGGCGTTTCCTATCCAACGGGGTTAAAACCCGAGATGCGATGCCAACACAGCTTGTGTCAAGATTTGTTCAGAGCGAAAGACTGGGCTAGAGCTTCGTATGTAAAATACATTTTTTGGATTACTATCAAGCTTTCGAACTGCGCTAGACCGGGAAGATGACGGTCTTTCTAAATCATAATTAGCTTCTTACCGTCAGATATCTTGTGTGAGACCTTGTTAAAGAGGTAAACGCACAGGATTGTCCAAGGGACATATTTTTCTGTCCCAACCCATCGCAATTTATGCCTGTTCCATCCCATCCCATGGGATTCCCATTGGAATACAATTCAATAAAAATTGTCAAATTTAGATTTAGCGTCTACTAAATAGGACTATATGTACAAAGAGACATGCAGAACAACAAGATTTATTGACTTCGTCAACTTTAAATTCCCAACTATTATACAAGTTTTCATCAGCCCCTATGACAAAATGTATTGTTAATGCTAAATATCTTTTGCTTTTTATAACTAACAATAGAGCTATGCTCAATCTATAACAAATTGTTTAACAATCAATTCAGCCAAAATAATACAGTATTTTGTGTCCCACGAAAATACAAATATGGACTGTCTCATCTCATTTCATGGAACGTTTTCCATGGACAAGCCTAAAAAGGCACAAATAATTGTTTTATGATAAATATACTTTCTCGCTTTTTAACTGTGTGAAACTGTTACTTTACAGTCAGCGTCTATTCATTCCCGAATAATAATCAGGCAAAGGAAGCGAGTTCCAGCGTATACTACAGATGGGGCTTTCACAAGGGAGACGTCCTGACAATAACATTCCCAGTTAGAGTCGCAAGATTTGAAGTAAGAAAACAATTTACTTATCACCATGTAGGCGAGATGCCCTAAAGCAGGGTTCCCCAAACTTTTTGGGTCGCGTACCCCTATATCTATTTGTGAATCTTAGTTTTACCCTTTTTATTCATAGTTTTTCATATTGAGTTTTGACGCTCTGACCCAGTAATCAAGTCTATTATCGGAACCGGGAAGATTCCAGTTCTATAAGAATAATTAAATCTATGATTACAGCTCACTACAATGAACGGCAGATACAGCGTGACTTCTGACGACTCAAAAACTTTCACTCTGAGTGGATTCCAAAACGAGGAGGGAGACGACAGCATGAAAGAGGTTTGAATAAATAATAACGCAACGTTGATTAGAGTTCGCTATTCTTGGTGGTATGACGCATGCTGAGCGCTGAGAACACTCTTGGAATTGCACCTCTGATTAATTACCCTGCGTGAGTTCGCACGAAAATTATGTGGGCATAGGTAACAGGTGACCATTTGTTGAAGACTCGAAATGACTTGAGGACTCGACTCCGAGATCTGTGACTCGACTTGAGTCGCGATCCGGGGTTTAAGGGATTTTACTTAACGCTCAGTTCATACATAAGCACAATCGACTGCTGAGATGAGTTGCAATGTCATCTATTGGAATTGTGAGAATGACTGATGTTGATGCAACCGAACTAAACCAAATTTCAATGCTTGACATAAAAAATACCTCAAGGAATTTGAGATTGCAATTAGATTTAGTTTTGAAACGAAACTTCTTGTTTTCCACTTTATTTTTGTAACACTGTAAATAATGTTTATAATATGTAACTTTTTCACACATTCATGGCCCGCCAGTCTAGATGGGCAACGATTTTGGCCCTTTTCACTTCTGGTCTAGCGTTTAAAGCGTCAGCTTGAATACATTTGCATTGTAGTCCTAAAGTTTCTAATTGCCACATTTGACCGTATTAGCTAACGTTTCCGGTCCAAGGCCGCGTGAGCCCCTGATCGGATCGAAAGACGTGAATAAATACATATATATATAAATAAAAAAAAACGCCATAGATTGAATTTCGATGTTTCACAGGTTGGCTTCAACATCGAGTACCTGCATTCAGAAGATGGATTCTCAGGCTGGTTTTCCGCAGGCGATATTTCGGTTTCTATTGTTAGAGTGACTGCACTACAGTGACATCACAATTAGAGAGTGGACTTGTTGACGACGATGCGACACGAATATTTACATTTAGTCATTTCAGTTTTCCCAACGTTTTCTCGTTAAATTTCACGTTTTACATATTTTGGGGCGCTCCAGAAGTATACGTACCAATATGGATGAAACTAAATTTATTCGCCTATTCTACATCAAGTTGTGTAAAGGGACTGAAACCAATGGGCAGGGGTATATCCACTTGGCTAACACAGACAGTCCCCGACTCGTAATATAAGTAAGATAGGGAACATCGGAAGAAAAATTTATGTCTTCACACTAACCTGGTACACTTACTACGGGAGTACGTATTTTGGAACTGTTTATTCTTCGCTGACTATATGTGAAAGTACTTTATTTAATCAATCTTTAATCTTCCCTCTGAGAAAATTTAAGCTGAGCAAATGTTTGTTTTAGTAAGCATGAATATTTTGAGGCTTAGTATGCTGAGTTTTAAATGATTTCCAAACTTTGGGAAATATTATGGCCAGCGAGTTTTCTACACATCCCCAATAAGAGGTGAACACCCGCCTAAAATTGCAAACACCCCCCTAATTTTCAGATGTAACACCATACTTCAATTCTTAACGTAAATAAAAATGTATTTAAATATTCAGAAAGTGGCTTACATGCCGGTGAAGATGAACAGTCAAATACAAAACACATTTTCATAAATCTCAAATAGTTTTATCACTAATAACAAAATTGTTGTATATTATATGATGTGATACCGCTAGGTGACGCTATTGACCCAGACTAATTTGACCTTGTTCTATCTGTGCACGTGTTAAGTGCTGACTTGCTGTTTAGGCTGTTACTGCTATGGTGTCTTTATGTTGAAGTGCTCGACTCTTATAATAAAGTAGTGTTGTAATGGAAACTTGGTGCTTGTTTATAAAGATCTAAAGGCAGAATACACAACAATTTGGCGACGAGGATGGGATTAGTCTGCTGCCATATAACGTTAGCTGTGTCAATGGGATCGGTCTGCTGCATGCCGGTGTCACAGTAAGTGTTTCAAATCAACGTTATTACAAGTACCCGAAAAGAAGAGTCTGAAATATAAGCAGCTGAAATTGTCTTTATAGACTGAAATTTATGAGCCTGAAATTCCATAGCTGAAAAATTACTATACCTGAGTCCTGAAATGACTACTTTTGGAAAAATAGAAGAGTATAGTAATGGCCAAGATTGGTCTAAATATGTTGAACGCTTAGGACATTATTTTGAAGCAAACGAGATTGAATGTGCTGATAAAAAGAAAGCCATATTATTAAGCGTTTGCGGGGCTCAAACATACAGTTTGATCAGAAACTTATGTGCTCCTGAAAAGCCTGGTGAAAAAACTTATGTCCAGCTGAAAGAACTTGTGAACAAGCATCTCAACCCCAAACCATTGGTGATAGCAGAAAGAGTCAAATTTCATGAAAGAATCCAACATGATGGAGAAAATGTGAATGAGTTCCTGGCACAGCTCAGGAAGCTATCTGAACATTGTCAATTCGGTGAGTTCTTAAATGATTCACTAAGAGATAGATTTGTGAGTGGACTGATATCAACTCGAATGAAACGTAAATTATTAACTGAAGTTGACCTAACTCTGCAGAATGCTGTGAAAATTGCTACTGGTATGGAATTGGCAGAAAAACAAGCCAATGAATTAAGTTGCAAATTTGAAAAATTGCCAGTAGAGGAAAGTAAACCAAAAGTTCATAAAGTTCAAAATAATCAAAGATTTGCAACGCGTTCTGAAATTCGAAAATTCAAAGAATGTTTTCGATGTGGGAAAAGTAATCATTCTGCTGAAAGCTGTTTCTACAGAAATGCAAAGTGCCATAAATGTAAACGAATTGGGCATATAAGTCGAAAATGCTCAATGCAACGTAACTTCAATCGAGGTTCCAATCCTCTGAAAAGTAAAAAGTCTTCAAATTGTGACTACATGCAACCTACGAATGATGATAACCTGTCTTCGGACTGTTCTCAAAATGAAATGTGTCCTGTATTTACTACTAAGTCTAGTTCTTATGGTCCAATAGTAGTTCCACTGAGAATCGAAAATTGTGATTGTAAATTTGAATTAGATACTGGTAGTGGGGTGTCACTCATTTCTGAAAGCATGTATGAAAAGAATTTTAAACATTTGCCTTTGCTGAAATCTAATGTTGTATTGACAACTTATACTGGTGAAAATATTACTGTCTTAGGTAAAGTGAATGTTACTGTTGAATATGAGTCACAGTGTGTAAATTTACCTTTGCAAATTGTTCGTGGCAATGGTCCATTACTATTGGGTAGAAATTGGTTATCCCAATTGCAATTGAATTGGCATCGTATTTGTCATATTGGTTCCAAGCTCACGCTTGAGAATATTTTGAAAAAGTACTCTGTTTTTGATAATTCCCTTGGTACTATAAAAGGTATAACTGCTAAACTAAGGGTGAAAGAGAGTGCCATTCCGAAATTCTACAAGCCACGTCCTGTTCCTTTTGCTCTTCGTGATAAAATTTCGGATGAGCTGAAAAGACTAGTAAATATGGGGGTCCTGAAAAAAATTGAAAGTTCTGATTGGGCTTCACCCATTGTTCCAGTATTGAAAGCTGATGGTTCAGTGAGAATTTGTGGGGATTTTAAAGTAACTATAAATCCTGAATTGGATGTCCCTGAATATCCCTTTCCTAGACCTGAGGACCTATTTAGTAAATTGAATGGGGGACAGAAATTTTCAAAGCTTGATTTATCAGAAGCTTATCAACAAGTCTTACTTGATGACGAATCTCAAAAATATGTCACTATTAATACTCATATGGGGTTATTTAGATATTTAAGGTTACCATATGGGGCAGCTTCTAGTCCTAGTATTTTCCAAGAAACTATGGAGAAAATTCTCCAGGGATTGCCAAATGTGGGTTTTATTTTGGATGATTTGATTGTCACTGAAAAAGATGATGATAGTCATTTGCAATTTCTTGATAAACTTCTATATAGATTGAATTCATTTGGTGTAAAATTGAAACGTTCTAAATGTTGTTTTTTGCAACCATCTGTTGAGTATTTTGCTTTTATTGTTAATGCAGAAGGTATTCACCCTTCTCCGAAAAAGATTGAAGCAATAATGGAAATCCCTAGCCCTGAAAATGTAAAAGAATTACAATCTTTTCTTGGTATTGTAAATTATTATCGTAAATTTATTCCTGCAATGTCTACCCTTGTTGATCCTTTTAATAAGTTACTGAAAAAGGGTATGAAATGGAATTGGAATAGTGACTGTAAAAAAGCTTTTGTGAAACTGAAAGATATATTGGTGTCATCTGAAGTGCTAGTACACTATGACCCTGAAAAACCATTAGTACTTGCCACTGATGCTTCATCTGTAGGTATTGGTGCTGTAATTTCTCATATACTGCCAAATGGTGCTGAAAAACCTATTGCATATGCTTCTCGTACTTTAACAAGTGCTGAAAAAAATTATTCCCAAATCGAGAAGGAGGCACTAGCAATTGTATATGGTGTAAGAAAATTTCATGTGTATTTATATGGTCGAAATTTTAAATTGTTGACTGATCACCAACCTTTAACTATGCTATTGAGTCCAAAACGTGGTATACCTGTTTTAACTGCAACCAGATTGCAACGGTGGGCTATAAAACTGTCTGCATATAAATATGAAATATGTTATCGAAACACGAAAAATAATGGGAATGCAGATGCATTATCCCGATTGCCCATGAAAACAGATCAGTCTGAAATACGCGATTGTTGGGAAGAAGAGGCAACGATTATGAACATAAACCAGGTTCATACGCTTCCCATAACTCCTGCAAAGCTCCGCCATGCAACTGAAATTGATCCAAAGCTCTCACGAGTGTTGATGTATACTATAAATGGTTGGCCTGCAAAGGAGGAAATTACAAATGAATTGTTGCCATTCCACAGGAGGAAAGATGAAATTACTGTGGAAGAAGGAATATTGCTGTGGGGAATAAGAGTTATTATTCCTGAAAAGTATATTGCAGAAGTACTAGATGAACTGCATGAAAATCATCCTGGTATGGTTCGGATGAAATCATTAGCCAGATTGCATGTTTGGTTTCCGAATATTGATGAAAGAATTGAACAGAAAGTGAGAGATTGTTCAAATTGTCAGGAAGTAAGAAGTCCTGCGAATAGAACGCCTGGAAATCCATGGATATGGCCTACGAAGCCATGGCAAAGAATTCATATTGACTATGCTGGTCCAATAATGAATGAAAACTTTCTGGTGGTGGTCGATGCTCATTCTAAATGGCCTGAAGTTTTGAGAATGCCTTCAACTACTTCTGAAAAGACTGTTGATGCATTGAGATATTTATTTTCGAAATATGGACTACCCAAAATATTGGTAAGTGATTATGCTCCTAACCTGTCATCGAAAGAGTTCAGAGATTTTATGATACGATATGGAATTAAGCAAATCTTCTCAAGTCCGTATCATCCGTCCTCTAATGGTGAGGCTGAAAGAAATGTGCGTACCTTCAAAACTGCACTGAAAACTTTAAGGAAATTACCTGGAACACTGAATCAGAAGTTGGCATCGTTCTTGTTAACTTATCGAACAACGCCACATTCTACAACGAAATGTACTCCAGCTGAATTATTCATGAAAAGAAGACTGAGAACAAGATTAGATTTAATGAAACCTAATTTGAGTAATTCGATGCAGAAAAGAACAACTCCAGTGCAAAAGCCTATTAGAAATCTGGAAGTTGGAAATCGTGTTCAAGTTCGTGATTATAGAGATCAAAACCGAAAATGGATTCATGGAATAATCTTAAAGAAGTTGAGTCCTGTAACCTATCGTGTAAAAGTTGGTTCAATGATCTGGAAAAGACATATTGATCAAATATTGGACATGTCTAAAGTGAAATTAGAGAAATCATATGATAGTAGTTTGGATGATGACGTTTCATTGCCTTCTGTGTTTCCAAATACTGATGTAATTGATCCTAATGTTGATATCCCTAGTACTAATGAAAATTTACCTGTTAATCCTAATGTTAGTACTGAAAGTGAAACCCAGTGCCCTGATGAAACATCTGTTGAAATTTCACGTTATCCAAAACGTCTTAGGGTTAAGCCTGAGCGGTTGATTGAAACAATGTAAATGAAATGTAATGACATTCTCATTTTTTTGAAGGGGGGAAAAAGTGTTGTATATTATATGATGTGATACCGCTAGGTGACGCTATTGACCCAGACTAATTTGACCTTGTTCTATCTGTGCACGTGTTAAGTGCTGACTTGCTGTTTAGGCTGTTACTGCTATGGTGTCTTTATGTTGAAGTGCTCGACTCTTATAATAAAGTAGTGTTGTAATGGAAACTTGGTGCTTGTTTATAAAGATCTAAAGGCAGAATACACAACAAAAATGTCTACCACCTAAAATAAAAAACTGGGGAACATACTGATTATGGCATTGTAGGCTTGTCTAAAATTAGCATGTTCCAGATGTAAATGAATACTACATGTAAAAAGAATCAAAAACTGATAATTCCGGGTGAAAGGAGTCACGAGAAACCAATACTAGTCATCGAGTAAGCGACACCATTTTTCAGCAGCAGATAACGTCAAACAATTACATTAGTATATTAGCATAAGTTAATAAATCACAATATGAGAACGGAAATTCACGAGAAAACGTGAGATTCTATGAAAGAAATAAAAATTGTTGGCGAAATATGTCAATTTAAGCTCGGTCGTCAATTCTTAATGCTTCAATGAGCACACTCACAACAAAATAATTGCTGACTAACGTGACGAATCAAAACGATCATAACTACTTGGGGAATTCCCTATAGCAATGATGCGAAGATTTCTATATTCATCCCGGAGGGCGGAGGAGAGGAAAGTTTGATCTCAAACTGCGCATAATATGCGAATTTTAATATTATCATCTACACCAGAAAAAATAGCAAGATCAGTAAAACTGTAAAAGGGAATCATTAGTCAGCCACGGACATTTAGGAGCTGTGCCAGTAGATACCGGTATCGTTTTACCAGAACTTGAAAGTCAGGGTGATCCAATTCGCCAGATTAGAAGGCCGCAAAATATCTTGAGGAGGCCTTGCGTGCCGCAGTCGGGGAATCCCCAAAATTGAACAAAAACACTGCGGTTTAGGTACAAACTTTAAATTTCTTAACAAACATCAAGGGATTTGTTGAGATTGCGGTAAAATTTGGGTTTGGCATGAGGTTTATTGATTTCCACTGTTGCTTTTGTAGCACTGTAAACATTGTTCATAAGATGTAACTCTTTATGACATACTTATATGGACCGCCAGTCTAGGTGGTCAGAATTTTTGGCCCCTGATCCAAAAACCGTGCCCACTCCAGCTCTTGAATCACTTGCTTACAATTCCTCTATCAATAACTTTTAGTCAGTTAGTTGAGAGTCGCAAACTTGCTTTGAGAAAAATAAAATTGATATTTCATTATTTTAGGAATGCTTTCCCTAGGTGTTGTAAACCTTACTCAGAATATATTGAATCATACTACTGTACTAGTGGGAGTAGTGACTCTAGTCACAGTATGTCATACTAGTGGGAGTAGTGTCTCTAGCCACAGTATGTGGTCATTAATGGGATTTATATTAGAACTATCAACACTGTGTACTGATCTTGGTAAGTAGATTAGAATAATTAGAGGAAAACGTAGGAAAGGGAATTGCTATTTAGTCTTTCATAGCGATAACTGCCTGATAAACAAAATATCCATTTGAAATATTGAAAATACCACCCAAGCTGTCAAACAGCACGCAAAACCCAAAAACAAGCCAATGTTTACTATCATTCCTGAAAGTCTGCTTTATATAGAGTTTAATTTTTCTAGCGTAGGTATCACTAGATCTGTGGTTTTCAAACAGTGGTGTGCTCCCCACAAGGTGGAGATAGAAAAATTTTTCATGGGGTCGTGAAGCAAATTTAAAATAAAAATATTTCTTCATTCCAGGATATCATATTATTCAATCATATTATTGTTCCTATTAATTAGACAAAAACATCAATTCAGGTTATGGAAAGTAAGGTACATTATAATTCAAATGCAGCAAACGATAGGGACAACGGTTATTGTAAAATTCATTCAATTCTCTATTATTATTTTAATTCAAAATCCATGATATGGCAGAATGATACTCTTTATAATTTATTGTTCTCTATATTTAGTATATGTCCTAATTTTATTATTACGTTTACATGTATTGTATTCCATGTTGTATTGTCTCTATTTATTGATGTTGTCTTTCACTACCAACTCCTTTGTACAAACAGTTGGCATACTCCACCCTTACACCTGTTGCCTATATTGCTACACAACCACCCTCCTTGCACAACTGTCTGTATGAAGGACCATATTAATATATTTTATTTATTGCATTTTATCATAAGGGGTGTATGCTGCACGTTCACGTGTTTTAGGCCAGTATGGACTTGTGTAGACATCCCGTCTTTAATGTTGATATTTACTAACTCCTGTGTTTTTGCTTTTACGAGACGAATAAACATACATACATACTTGTTAGATTTATTTTTTCTTTATATTTACGTTTCATCCACGAATATACAATGTGTTTTTTGAATAAAACATGTATTCACCTTACTATCTGTAATTTGTAGCTTATTTTCAGCTACTTATTTTTCGCGAGACTTGACAAATTCTAAAAAGGAGGCGCGTGTTTGAGAACCACTGCACTAGATGGTTGTTGGCTATTTTAAATTCAAGTCAATACTGCAAGGGAATCTTTAAATATTATTTGATAAATTCTTACTTTTATGCTCACGCGATACGGAAACATATATTATAAGCTTAAAGTGGAATTCTATCTATATTCAATCAAGTATGGTTTGTACATAATGCCTGTTTTTAATGTGTGATCCATATAAATAAAACAAAGAAAACTTCGGTTTCGGTTTTTAGTTGAACGGAATTTTGTCTGATTTTGCAAAAATTTGAACAATGGTCTCTTTGCGTCAAGGAAATGATGTCACTTATTCTTAAGATATTTTTGTGATATACTGTGTGAAACAAAAAAGAGTAAGTTCCAATGGAATTTATTGGTAAATGATATTCTGCAACTATGTTAATGCTACAATACCAGACCACACATGGCCCTGGGCTGAAAAAAGATTCATATATAATTTAATCATGATCTTCACTTAACCCTGTTATTGTCCAGATAAGCCCTATATATAACACACAGAAATGCAACTAATTTGTAATTTTTCAACAGGGCTGGCTTCAATGCATTCTGCATCCACTATGTCATATACAGTGAGTACCTTGGGTGGAGTGGACGTGTATTTATTCTGTCAGGATTCCTACATTTTGAAAACGAAATTATCCAATGAAGACCATTCAGTGGATTGGAGTTCTACTCCTTATTGGAGGTTGGCTGAATGTTTTATATATTCTATAGAGATTGGCTCTTTAAATATTTTAACAAATGATTAGATTACTCTATTTAAGTGGAGAATTTCCTCTCATGGTGAAGTAGTTTATTCGTATATATTGACCATTATTTGTATTTTGTTGATGTTTGGCACCTTGCAGTAAGACAGGAATGAATTGAATATTTATATATTTTCAGAACTAGTCCTATTTGATATTTTAAATTTTTGATTTCAGGAAGAATTTAGAATATTTCCTAAATTTTACATTTCAATTATATGAATAGTTTAGCAAAATGGTCTCGGCGATGAAGCGCATCGTACCAAGCGTTAGGACTAGGTGAAGGATCATGGGGTTGGGGACCAATTGTTTAAAGACCAGGTGTAGCCCTGGTTGAGATACGTCGGGCCGGGGAAGTAACCACCTTGTAAGACTTCAAATTATCCATAAATTGTATCTTTTTTTGTCTCATGGCTGTGTATTTTTGAACGAACTCAACTATGCAGCGTTTCCGCATTCTCATTGGTTGACTCACCTTTGGTCGAGAAACCCTGCTCCAGGTCCTGTAAGAAGCCATGAAAAGCCTTCATTTGAACAAAGCTCTTGGCCAGGTATTAGGTTTTGGCAGGCTCGGTGGTTCAGATATCTTCTTTCTAGTTTGGCTTAGTGTTTAGTGAACCTTAGGTGAGGTTGTAAACAATGGGATACTTTTACTATTTGAAGTTGTTCGGAATATGTTTAAAATTATGAAACTGTTAAATTAGAATACAAAAAAATTGGGGCAATTTATACTGATTCGACTGAAACCTCTATATGAATCCCGTTTGGCATTGGAATTTATTCGACAAAAAAAAATTAATTTAGACTCCCCATATATATATATATACGAGACTATTTATTACTGGACCTTCTTTGCGGTGATGCTATTACTTTCGTTTCAATGACCAATAAATAGCTGGCTCATTAGCAGGGCCGCCTGTTGCACACCCCTGCTCTAGAGTCTAGACATTTCTGATCCTTGATGATCTTTTCCTCCCTCTATTCTGTAACTGGACTAGAGGCCGAGATTTGCCATATTATTCCATCTCACCAACTTCACTCTCTTATTTACAAATGCATTTTTGCTAAATTGAAGGGATTTTCTTCGTTTTGTCAAAAGTTGCTTTTTTTGCTACTACTTGACCGATTGATTCTATATTTTAGGTTGGGCGGATTCTAAAAGGCTAATAATTCACACTTTTTTGAAAATTTCTTTAAAATCCTAAAAAATTAACCAATTGCCTTGAAATTTTCGCTAGATGGTTAGTGCTTTTATATTTAATTTGGACTCCTGTATAAAAGTCCATGCATCTGAAATCAAATAACTACTCACATATTTGATATCAACTGGTGATCGAGCGAGTGTCTGTGGTTCGCCCTATGATCAAATCGTATTATCGGCTTTCCTTTCCCCGGGATATGCAAATCCTAATTCTAATGAAAAGTATCTATTGTTCTGTAACCTGATAATCCAAGAACAACTTGATTCCAATTTCATTCTGTTAATTTTAGGAATCTCGAGTGTGAGCGGGCAAAGTTGTGGATAAAAAATATATAACCTGGGAGGAGAAATCAAGTCCCCAGCAAATAAAAGTGAATGTGGTGGGTGGGGCTACTGTGATTGGTACTTTCCATTTGATCGCCGTATGAATCAGACGATGTTCAGATTAAATTTCACAGCGACGTTTGTTTCAAAAAAAAGTTTTGTTATTTATATCAGTGGCGGTATAAGTGGTAAGTATTTCATAGCATGAGTTAGCGCATGATGTTCCTCAATGTGGTTTTGTGTTACTTGAAATAATTTGTGTTGAACTCAGTCACGGTACAAAAAATGAAAACAATTCGGGAAAATTACCAAATCAAAACCTTCGGCACGGAGTTACGGGCAATAATCCCACAGAAGACAAATAACAGATGACAGTCAATTAAATAATCTTGATTGGCAGACACTTTGGCAGTGGCGGATACATTATAAAATATATTGATCCAGATATGAAGCTTACATAAATCATGTTTGAGAAGACTCGTGCGAAATATAAGCACCAGAAAAAACAAAATGAGCATACCTGCCGAAAAAGACGACCCCCCCCCCCCCCTGCTTTGGTCATAGAAATAATTTGCTCAGCTATTATACTCAAATTTGTTAATTATTTAGATTTGTCCAAATTATTCTATAATAAATTGAAGCGGAATGTGAAACAGAATAGTTCTAACCTATAGCGCCATCTGTGGTTTGTTTTTCATCTTACAATACTTTATTACAGATTATGTTGTAAGATTCCCCCTCATGTTGTTTACTCCCCAAACTGACCAGGAATGTTGGATATACAGCGAACCAGGTATTTGCTCAAATGAAGTGGATACAACATGTACAATTGAAAACTGGATCGACGTGGATGGCAGTGGGGCAACAGATATAGGGATGTCATTCGAATGCCAGCCTTCTGTATATCAACTTATCAAGTAACATTCACTTACGAATACATCGATTGTAAAACAGGTGAAACTATACCTTATTTGTAGTTTGCAGAATTGCTCTGAACAATTGCTCTAATATCTGATAAGTTACTATATCTGTAGAAGGATCAGGACCTCCCTAGTTTTCTTCGTTAAATCTTTTTCAACTTTTTTATTGTTATAAGAATTAAGTTCAGTTATTTCAGCAAATTGCATATTTTTGTCCATTCTAACCCCATCGGATATGTTGTTATCGCCTCTAGACTATCTGGGATTTGAACTCGGGATCTCCACTCGTTGGCGTCTAAAAAACTGTTTTTACTTTTCCACTGCAAACTCCCCCTCTTTTTGACTCTAATTTTGTAACGCCTTCGCCTTTTCCTTCAAGAGAAATGGCTACTCGTATGAGCAAAGCTATCATGTGCATTGCTTTGTGTGTTTATATCCTCTGACCGATATGTTAGGAATTGTCCGATAATAGCCAAAAGCATAGGGGGGTGGGGTGCTGGCCACAGCGCTTACCCTATTGCATGGCCCAGCCAACCCCCCCCCTGGCTACTCCTAAGAGAAAAGCTATCGTGTACATTGCTTTGTGTATTCATGTCCGGCTACTGGCGCCAATATGTGAGGTATTGTCCACTAAAGGATTTTCATCTTATATTTCAGGAAAAAGACTTGAACCACCAACTACCATGGCCCTACCGCATTCCATGGTCCTACCTACTACCCCGGCCCTAGAGACTGACGCAGCCCTACAGACTACCACAGCCCTACAGACTACCACAGCCCTACAGACTACCACAGCCCTACAGACTGACACAGCCTTACAGACTACCACAGCCCTACAGACTACCACAGCCCTACAGACTACCACAGCCCTACAGACTACCACAGCCCTACAGACTACCACAGCATTACAGACTACCACAGCCCTACAGACTACCACAGCCCTACAGACTGACACAGCCTTACAGACTACCACAGCCCTACAGACTGACACAGCCCTACAGACTACTACGGCACCAACTACCCAGGCAAACAAACCCAACCAGACAACCTTTAACTCTGTTTCCACTGAATCAGACACCGGCAATAACTCTATCACAACGAGTTTGATAATAATTGGATCCATGATAGCATTGTTGGTAGCCGTTGCATTTGGAGTTATGGTTTATCGTAAAATCAGGTAAATGGATAATTTTATCACCTGCCCTCCCCCGCCTTCCTGTCTCCCCACATATTTCAACTAATCGTGTGTCTTTGTTACAGACCACAAGGCCAGGAAGAAAATATTGCAATGTCGACCCCAACTCGGGAGTACGAAGAGATTCACGAACCGGTAAATGAGGAAGGTTATCTCTCACCAATGGCAAACCCCAACGTATCAATTCAAATACCGATTGTAGAGGAAGCATACGCTGATCCTGATTATATTGTCCCAGAGGATATTCATCCCCCACCTATACCCGACCCGATGTACGACAGAGTAGAATTGCTGCCTCCTGACAACCTGCGTATAGGTCCTGCTGTCTCCTCAAACCTCGGCAGTTCTCGTCAAAATCCAAGTGTCGAAGGCGTTTATAACGAGCCCGATTATGCTCCACCAGGAAATATTTCTGCCCCGCCTATTCCCATGCATGAGGGCATTGGTGTGCCAACTTCCAGTGCCACACCCAATTTTCAGTTGACGCCGCTTCCAAATTCTGAAGTACAGGTTTCACTTATGATCCGCTTAAATCCTGGCATTTCTTGTCAAGTTAAGAGTTCTGATGACAGAACAAATCCAGACACCTCCCCAGAAAATATTGCCACCTCCCCAGAAAATATTGCTGCACCACCCATGTATGGAGGCGAAAGGGTGACACCACCCTGCAACCCACCCCACCCCCAAACGAATCTGCCTCTTAACCCTACTGTCTCCTCAAACCCTGGCACTCCCTGTGCCAGTGTTGAAGGCGTTCATGACGGGCCGGATCATGCCCCACCGGAAAATACTACTGTCCCACCCATATACGATGACCCTTTGGCCATTAACACTCCAGGAAATATTACTGTCCCACCCATATACGGTGACCCTTTGGCCATTAACCCCCCAGGAAATATTACTGCCCCACCCATATACGATGACAATTTGGCCATTAGCCCTTCCGTTTACGATGATATAGCCTAGACCAGTGGTTTCAGACCTTTTTTTGTGTCACGACCCCCCTTGAATATTTTCTAACATACCATGACCCTTTCCACGATATTTGCTCAAGGTAAAAAAAACTGTTGGTCTTACGAAAGAAACAATATTAAGATTAAATTTGATTTCTAGGAATACGAACCTCTTGTGGGTCGTGACCCCCAGGTTGGGAATCACTGGCATAGAATGAGCTCAAACTTAATGAGGCAGAAAACTTCTCCTGTAGAATTCAGTAACTTTGAAACCCTGTTTGGAAAAAAATATTGAAAAATAAATAAAAAAAAGTGTTGTTCTTATTTTATTTCATGTTATCACATTTTAAATTTTTTTCGACATTGCTTTATATGAGTGAAATATTTTTTTCATTTTCATCTCTGTACTTTACAGAATAATTCAACCAAGACCGAACAGTAACTGACCTTGAGCTTTTAGCGGAATTGCGCTTTTAATAATGTTATCGTTTACGAGTCGCATTTTCTATATTTTCACAAGTTCTAGTATTATGATGCCACATTAGTGGTGATTCCATCGCCTCCTTTCTTGACACAAAATAATAAGTGTATTTATTTTTCCTTGCATAATTACAATTTTGTTGTCCAGGACAATGGCGTTTGAACTCAGAACTATTCACCCTGTGCCTTGGATGGCCCAAACAGAATAGTCTACGATTTCGATAATTTGACAAATAAAATTATTCTCTATTTCTTCCTAAAATCAAGTATTTAAAATATCGAGTCCTAGTAATTTCAAATTAATTTGAATATTAAATTCATTTTGGCCCCCCCCCCCTCTACATTATTTGAAAAAAAAAAATTAGTAATAAGATTATCAGTGACCTTTACCCTAACTAGGAAGTAACATATTATTTAAAATTGATTTTTTTTGCGAGCATGTGATCTTACTCTTTGAATCGGGGTTGTGAACTCAGTGAAAAGTTCAATTCGATTCTGAATAGCTGAAATAACATTCTCTCGACCCGGTTGGCTAAAATTCGGACTCTGAGAAAGCCTTTGCTAAACAATTTAACTCCGACAATGCCTCGGCTGAACAACTTGACACATACTTGGTTAAAAATTTCAATTCTTAACTTTAGACTCTGAAATTCCCACTCCAGAGAATTTGAACGCACGGCCGCGTCTCTAATACCAGTGAAAAACATCAATCTCTTGACTTCATAGCTTTGCTTCGATTCAACTTTTATTGAGTGCATCTGTTTTATTTCACATAATCAAATTTGGAATTAGGCTTCCCGCTGCTTGTCAGCAGGGAACCTATTGTATTCCTGTGTTTTATTATTAGGCTTCCCGCTGCTTGTCAGCAGGGAACCTATTGTATTCCTGTGTTTTATTATTATTATTTATTTATTATTATTATTTATTTTTATTATTTTTTTTTCAAATTGGTCCTACAAACTTGAAATTCACCTCAAATGTGCAGAAGTTCTCAGCTTTATGCATGACTGACCACGCTTTCACGCTCCAGTGAGCAAAACGCGTATTCAGTTTTTTTGCGATTTCTCAAAATTGATACATGCTATTGGGTTGAAATTCATAACAATGATTAATAGACATTTTTCGGATACGATATGTCAAGGATACGCATGAGTGACCTCAGCGATACGCTCCAGTGAGCAATATAGGATTTTACATTTTCATCTTCTTCTCGAGAACGACACTACTTAGAGACTTGAAATTTACATCACATGCAGATAATAAGTGCCCCATCATAAATTGCAAATTTTATGCATGACTGACCACGCTTTCACGCTCCAGTGAGCAAAACGCGTCTTCAGTTTTTTAGCGATTTCTCAAAATTGATATAGGCTATTGGGTTGAAATTCATAACAATGATTAATGGACATGTTCCGGATACGATATGTCAAGGATACGCATGAGTGACCTCGGCGATACGCTCCAGTGAGCAATATAGGATTTTACATTTTCATCTCCTTCTCGAGAACGACCCTACTTAGAGACTTGAAATTTACATCACATGCAGATAATAAGTCCCCCATCATAAATTGCAAATTTTATGCATGACTGACCACGCTTTCACGCTCCAGTGAGCAAAACGCGTCTTCAGTTTTTTTTACGCGGGAAGCCTGTTAAAGCTGCACGCAGCTCTAGTTATTATTAGGCTTCCCGCTGCTTGTCAGCAGGGAACCTATTGTATTCCTGTGTTTTATTATTATTATTATTTATTTATTATTATTATTTATTTTTATTATTTTTTTTCAAATTGGTCCTACAAACTTGAAATTCACCTCAAATGTGCAGAAGTTCTCAGCTTTATGCATGACTGACCACGCTTTCACGCTCCAGTGAGCAAAACGCGTCTTCAGTTTTTTAGCGATTTCTCAAAATTGATATAGGCTATTGGGTTGAAATTCATAACAATGATTAATGGACATGTTCCGGATACGATATGTCAAGGATACGCATGAGTGACCTCGGCGATACGCTCCAGTGAGCAATATAGGATTTTACATTTTCATCTCCTTCTCGAGAACGACCCTACTTAGAGACTTGAAATTTACATCACATGCAGATAATAAGTCCCCCATCATAAATTGCAAATTTTATGCATGACTGACCACGCTTTCACGCTCCAGTGAGCAAAACGCGTCTTCAGTTTTTTTTACGCGGGAAGCCTGTTAAAGCTGCACGCAGCTCTAGTTATTATTAGGCTTCCCGCTGCTTGTCAGCAGGGAACCTATTGTATTCCTGTGTTTTATTATTATTATTATTTATTATTATTATTATTGGGCTTCCCGCTGCTTGCCAGCAGGGAACCTATTGTATTCCTGTGTTTTATTATTATTATTTATTTATTATTATTATTATTAATATTATTTTTTTTTTCAAATTGGTCCTACAAACTTGAAATTCACCTCAAATGTGCAGAAGTTCTCAACTAGCAATAAAATGCAAATTTTATGCATGACTGACCACGCTTTCACGCTCCAATGAGCAAAACGCGTATTCAGTTTTTTTGCGATTTCTCGAAATTGATACATGGTATTGGGTTGAAATTCATAACAATGATTAATGGACATGTTGCGGATACGATATTTCAAGGACACGCATGAGTGATCTCGGCGATACGCTCCAGTGAGCAATATAGGATTTTACATTTTCATCTTCTTCTCGAGAACGACACTACTTAGAGACTTGAAACTTACATCACATGCAGACAATAAGTCCCCCGTCATAGTTTGCAAATTTTATGCATGACTGACCACGCTTTCACGCTCCAGTGAGCAAAACGCGTTTTCAGTTTTTTTGCGGTTTCTCAAAATTGATACATGCTATTGGGTTGAAATTCATAACAATGATTAATGGACATGTTCCGGATACGACATGTCAAGGATACGCATGAGTGACCTCGGCGATACGCTCCAGTGAGCAATATAGGATTTCACATTTTCATCTTCTTCTCGAGAACGACACTACTTAGAGACTTGAAATTTACATCACATGCAGACAATAAGTCCCCCATCGTAAACTGCAAATTTTATGCATGACTGACCACGCTTTCACGCTCCAGTGAACAAAACGCGTCTTAAGTTTTTTTTACGCGGGAAGCCTGTTAAAGCTGCACGCAGCTCTAGTTATTATTATTATTATTATTTTTTTTTTTCGAATTGGTCCTACAAACTTGAAATTCACCTCAAATGTGCAGAAGTTCTCAGCTAGCAATAAAATGCAAATTTTATGCATGACTGACCATGCTTTCACGCTCCAGTGAGCAAAACGCGTTTTCAGTTTTTTTGCGATTTCTCAAAATTGATACATGCTATTGGGTTGAAATTCATAACAATGATTAATGGACATGTTCCGGATACGATATGTCAAGGAAACGCATGAGTGACCTCGGCGATACGCTCCAGTGATCAATATAGGATTTTACATTTTCATCTTCTTCTCGAGAACGACACTACTTAGAGACTTGAAATTTACATCACATGCAGATAATAAGTGCCCCATCATAAATTGCAAATTTTATGCATGACTGACCACGCTTTCGCGCTCCAGTCAGCAAAACGGGTTTTCAGTTTTTTTACGATGTTTACTCCCCAAACTGACCAGGAATGTTGGATATACAGCGAACCAGGTATTTGCTCAAATGAAGTGGATACAACATGTACAATTGTAAACTGGATCGACGTGGATGGCAGTGGGGCAACAGATATAGGGATGTCATTCGAATGCCAGCCTTCTGTATATCAAGTAACATTCACTTACGAATACATCGATTGTAAAACAGGTGAAACCATACCTTATTTGTAGTTTGCAGAATTGCTCTGAACAATTGCTCTAATATCTGATAAGTTACTATATCTGTAGAAGGATCAGGACCTCCCTAGTTTTCTTCGTTAAATCTTTTTCAACTTTTTTATTGTTATAAGAATTGAGTTCAGTTATTTCAGCAAATTGCATATTTTTGTCCATTCTAACCCCATCGGATATGTTGTTATCGCCTCTAGACTATCTGGGATTTGAACTCGGGATCTCCACTCGTTGGCGTCTAAAAAACTGTTTTTACTTTTCCACTGCAAACTCCCCCTCTTTTTGACTCTAATTTTGTAACGCCTTCGCCTTTTCCTTCAAGAGAAATGGCTACTCGTATGAGCAAAGCTATCATGTGCATTGCTTTGTGTGTTTATATCCTCTGACCGATATGTTAGGAATTGTCCGATAATAGCCAAAAGCATAGGGGGGTGGGGTGCTGGCCACAGCGCTTACCCTATTGCATGGCCCAGCCACCCCCCCCCCCCCCCCCCCCCTGGCTACTCCTAAGAGAAAAGCTATCGTGTACATTGCTTTGTGTATTCATGTCCGGCTACTGGCGCCAATATGTGAGGTATTGTCCACTAAAGGATTTCCATCTTATATTTCAGGAAAAAAACTTGAACCACCAACTACCACGGCCCTACCGCATTCCATGGTCCTACCTACTACCCCGGCCCTCGAGACTGACGCAGCCCTACAGACTACCACAGCCCTACAGACTACCACAGCCCTACAGACTGACACAGCCTTACAGACTACCACAGCCCTACAGACTACCACAGCCCTACAGACTACCACAGCATTACAGACTACCACAGCCCTACAGACTACCACAGCATTACAGACTACCACAGCCCTACAGACTACCACAGCCCTACAGACTGACACAGCCTTACAGACTACCACAGCCCTACAGACTGACACAGCCTTACAGACTACCACAGCCCTACAGACTGACACAGCCCTACAGACTACTACGGCACCAACTACCCAGGCAAACAAACCCAACCAGACAACCTTTAACTCTGTTTCCACTGAATCAGACACCGGCAATAACTCTATCACAACGAGTTTGATAATAATTGGATCCATGATAGCATTGTTGGTAGCCGTTGCATTTGGAGTTATGGTTTATCGTAAAATCAGGTAAATGGATAATTTTATCACCTGCCCTCCCCCGCCTTCCTGTCTCCCCACATATTTCAACTAATTGTGTGTCTTTGTTACAGACCACAAGGCCAGGAAGAAAATATTGCAATGTCGAACCCAACTCGGGAGTACGAAGAGATTCACGAACCGGTAAATGAGGAAGGTTATCTCTCACCAATGCCAAACCCCAACGTATCAATTCAAATACCGATTGTAGAGGAAGCATACGCTGATCCTGATTATATTGTCCCAGAGGATATTCATCCCCCACCTATACCCGACCCGATGTACGACAGAGTAGAATTGCTGCCTCCTGACAACCTGCGTATAGGCCCTGCTGTCTCCTCAAACCTCGGCAGTTCTCGTCAAAATCCAAGTGTCGAAGGCGTTTATAACGAGCCCGATTATGCTCCACCAGGAAATATTACTGCCCCGCCTATTCCCATGCATGAGGGCATTGGTGTGCCAACTTCCAGTGCCACACCCAATTTTCAGTTGACGCCGCTTCCAAATTCTGAAGTACAGGTTTCACTTATGATCCGCCTAAATCCTGGCATTTCTTGTCAAGTTAAGAGTTCTGATGACAGAACAAATCCAGACACCTCCCCAGAAAATATTGCCACCTCCCCAGAAAATATTGCTGCACCACCCATGTATGAAGGCGAAAGGGTGACACCACCCTGCAACCCACCCCACCCCCAAACGAATCTGCCTCTTAACCCTACTGTCTCCTCAAACCCTGGCACTCCCTGTGCCAGTGTTGAAGGCGTTCATGACGGGCCGGATCATGCCCCACCGGAAAATACTACTGTCCCACCCATATACGATGACCCTTTGGCCATTAACACTCCAGGAAATATTACTGTCCCACCCATATACGGTGACCCTTTGGCCATTAACCCCCCAGGAAATATTACTGCCCCACCCATATACGATGACAATTTGGCCATTAGCCCTTCCGTTTACGATGATATAGCCTAGACCAGTGGTTTCAGACCTTTTTTTGTGTCACGACCCCCCTTGAATATTTTCTAACATACCATGACCCTTTCCACGATATTTGCTCAAGGTAAAAAAAACTGTTGGTCTTACGAAAGAAACAATATTAAGATTAAATTTGATTTCTAGGAATACGAACCTCTTGTGGGTCGTGACCCCCAGGTTGGGAATCACTGGCATAGAATGAGCTCAAACTTAATGAGGCAGAAAACTTGTCCTGTAGAATTCAGTAACTTTGAAACCCTGTTTGGAAAAAAATATTGAAAAATAAATAAAAAAAAAGTGTTGTTCTTATTTTATTTCATGTTATCACATTTTAAATTTTTTTCGACATTGCTTTATATGAGTGAAATATTTTTTTCATTTTAACCTCTGTACTTTACAGAATAATTCAACCAAGACCGAACAGTAACTGACCTTGAGCTTTTAGCGGAATTGCGCTTTTAATAATGTTATCGTTTACGAGTCGCATTTTCTATATTTTCACAAGTTCTAGTATTATGATGCCACATTAGTGGTGATTCCATCGCCTCCTTTCTTGACACAAAATAATAAGTGTATTTATTTTTCCTTGCATAATTACAATTTTGTTGTCCAGGACAATGGCGTTTGAACTCAGAGCTATTCACCCTGTGCCTTGGATGGCCCAAACAGAATAGTTTACGATTTCGATAATTTGACAAATAAAATTATTCTCTATTTCTTCCTAAAATCAAGTATTTAAAATATCGAGTCCTAGTAATTTCAAATTAATTTGAATATTAAATTCATTTTGCACCCCCCCCTCTACATTATTTGAAAAAAAAAAATGAGTAATAAGATTAGCAGTGACCTTTACCCTAACTAGGAAGTAACATATTATTTAAAATTGATTTTTTTTTGCGAGCATGTGATCTTACTCTTTGAATCGGGGTTGTGAACTCAGTGAAAAGTTCAATTCGATTCTGAATAGCTGAAATAACATTCTCTCGACCCGGTTGGCTAAAATTCGGACTCTGAGAAAGCCTTTGCTAAACAATTTAACTCCGACAATGCCTCGGCTGAACAATTTGACACATACTTGGTTAAAAATTTCAATTCTTAACCTTAGACTCTGAAATTCCCACTCCAGAGAATTTGAACGCACGGCCGCGTCTCTAATACCAGTGAAAAACATCAAACTCTTGACTCCATAGCTTTGCTTCGATTCAACTTTTATTGAGTGCATCTGTTTTATTTCACATAATCAAATTTGGAATTAGGCTTCCCGCTGCTTGTCAGCAGGGAACCTATTGTATTCCTGTGTTTTATTATTAGGCTTCCCGCTGCTTGTCAGCAGGGAACCTATTGTATTCCTGTGTTTTATTATTAGGCTTCCCGCTGCTTGTCAGCAGGGAACCTATTGTATTCCTGTGTTTTATTATTATTATTATTTATTTTTATTATTTTTTTTTCAAATTGGTCCTACAAACTTGAAATTCACCTCAAATGTGCAGAAGTTCTCAGCTAGCAATAAATTGCAAATTTTATGCATGACTGATCACGCTTTCACGCTCCAGTGAGCAAAACGCGTCTTCAGTTTTTTTGCGATTTCTCAAAATTGATACATGCTATTGGGTTGAAATTCATAGCAATGATTAATGGACATGTTCCGGATACGATATGTCAAGGATACGCATGAGTGACCTTGGCGATACGCTCCAGTGAGCAATATAGGATTTTACATTTTCATCTTCTTCTCGAGAACGACACTACTTAGAGACTTGAAATTTACATCACATGCAGATAATAAGTCCCCCATCATAAATTGCAAATTTTATGCATGACAGATTACGCTTTCACGCTCCAGTGAGCAAAACGCGTCTTCAGTTTTTTTGCGATTTCTCAAAATTGATACATGCTATTGGGTTGAAATTCATAACAATGATTAATGGACATGTTCCGGATACGATATGTCAAGGATACGCATGAGTGACCTCGGCGATACGCTCCAGTGAGCAATATAGGATTTTACATTTTCATCTTCTTCTCGAGAACGACACCACTTAGAGACTTGAAATTTACATCACATGCAGATAATAAGTCCCCCATCATAAATTGCAAATTTTATGCATGAATGACCACGCTTTCACGCTCCAGTGAGCAAAACGCGTCTTCAGTTTTTTTTACGCGGGAAGCCTATTGAAGCTGCACGCAGCTCTAGTTATTATTTATTTATTATTAATATTTATTATTATTATTTTTTTTTCAAATTGGTCCTACAAACTTGAAATTCACCTCAAATGTGCAGAAGTTCTCAGCTAGCAATAAAATGCAAATTTTATGCTTGACTGACCACGCTTTCACGCTCCAGTGAGCAAAACGCGTCTTCAGTTTTTTTGCGATTTCTCAAAATTGATACATGGTATTGGGTTGAAATTCATAACAATGATTATTGGACATGTTCCGGAAACAATATGTCAAGGATACGCATGAGTGACCTCGGCGACACGCTCCAGTGAGCAATATAGGATTTTACATTTTCATCTTCTTCTCGAGAACGACACTACTTAGAGACTTGAAATTTACATCGCAGGCAGACAATAAGTCCCCCATCATAATTTGCAAATTTTATGCATGACTGACCACGCTTTCACGCTCCAGTGAGCAAAACGCGTTTTCAGTTTTTTTGCGATTCCTCAAAATTGATACATGCTATTGGGTTGAAATTCATAACAATGATTAATGGACATGTTCCGGATACGATATGTCAAGGATACGCATGAGTGACCTCGGCGATACGCTCCAGTGAGCAATAAAGGATTTTACATTTTCATCTTCTTCTCGAGAACGACACTATTTAGAGACTTTAAATTTACATCACATGCAGATAATAAGTCCCCCATCATAAATTGCAAATTTTATGCATGACTGACCACGCTTTCACGGTCCAGTGAGCAAAACGCGTCTTCAGTTTTTTTGCGATTTCTCAAAATTGATACATGGTATTGGGTTGAAATTCATAACAATGATTAATGGACATGTTCCGGAAACAATATGTCAAGGATACGCATGAGTGACCTCGGCGATACGCTCCAGTGAGCAATATAGGATTTTACATTTTCATCTTCTTCTCGAGAACGACACTATTTAGAGACTTGAAATTTACATCACATGCAGACAATAAGTCCCCCATCATAATTTGCAAATTTTATGCATGACTGACCACGCTTTCACGCTCCAGTGAGCAAAAACGTTTTCAGTTTTTTTGCGATTTCTCAAAATTGATACATGCTATCGGGTTGAAATTCATAACAATGATTAATGGACATGTTCCGGATACGCTATGTCAAGGATACGCATGAGTGACCTCGGCGATACGCTCCAGTGAGCAATATGGGATTTTACATTTTCATCTTCTTCTCGAGAACGACACTACTTAGAGACTTGAAATTTACATCACATGCAGATGATAAGTCCCCCATCATAAATTGCAAATTTTATGCATGATTGACCACGCTTTCACGCTCCAGTGAGCAAAACGCGTCTTCAGTTTTTTTTACGCGGGAAGCCTGTTAAAGCTGCACGCAGCTCTAGTTTTTCATTGATATTGTCTCAAATATTCATTTTAAACTCTGTGAGTTCTTCAGTATAATAATATCTTTAATAATCTTGCAGCCAACAAGGTAAATTTACGTTGCATGTAAATGTCTCATAAATAATGAAGTTATGGTTGAGAATGGGATATGTTTATCCATAATCAGGCTCTTTACTGTATTCATGTTTTGCATTCATGTATTTATTAATTGATATTTTATTCCAATCGTACTTCTTTTTTTGGAATGAACTTTGGTGGTTTGGTCATTCTGTATTAGCATTTGGGGTTAAAATTTTTTGAATTTATTGCGGGGAGAGGAAAGCAGATAAGATGGCTCAAGCACAAGGCAAACCAAACCTTCATATCTAGTTATCAGTCCAGGTTGGGTATAAAAAAGTCATATAATTTTTAATTTCAGATGAATGCACTTCATGCTGGATGATCATGCGTTGTTTTCATACAAGAATCTTGATTGAGTTTATTCCACGCACGGGTGAACAAATCAAAAAATTTTATGCTGCCCCCTTTCCAAAGTCTTATAATGTTGCTGAAAAATCTCGTATTTTTCTGATGTTTTTCTACATTTTCTTATAATCAGACATTTATTTTTAATTGTATTTTGTTGACACTTTTATTGTTTCGGGTCCATTCACAACCAACTAGATGATCTAAAATTTACTTTTAGCGCTGTCCGCCAAAAAACCTGCGTATTTTTCTTATGTTTTTTTACATTTTTTTATAACAAACTTTTATTATTTATTTTTGATGTATTTTGTTGACACTTTTATTTTTTCGGGTTCATTCAAAACCAACTAGATGACGTAAAATTTACTTTTAACTCCATAAGAAGCCACAAAATTTACATCGCTGTCCGCCAACTATAGGTCTTGTAAGTATTTCCTGTTGTCAAGTGAAACACCAACTTCAAAAGTTTAACTAAACTCTTCATTTTATTGGCTCCTAACAAGTCTCTGGACGGCGGTTTTTCCACGCACGAGTGAACAAATCAAAGAATTTTATGCTGCCCACTTTCTCATAATCTTATAATTCTGTTAAATATTTTGTTTTTTCTTGTAATTTTTTCAGGTGAATTTTCATGTTTTTCTATATTCTTTTATAATCAGACTGTTATTTTTATTTTTGATGCATTTGTTGACATTTTCATTGTTTTGGTTACAACCGCAGTCACTAGATGGCACAAATTTACTTTTTACCCCCACCTCTGCACAATATTTACATAGCAATCACTAGAGCAGTGGTTCCAAACCTTTTTTTTGGTTGCGACCCCCTTTAGATATTTTCTAACATGTTGCAACCTCTTCCACGAAATATGCTGAATTTAAATTATAACTAGTCCCACAAAAAATAATATTAAGCTGTACGGCCTTCTCTGCAAAACAAATATCTTGAATCAATTCAAATACTATATATTAATTATTTCATCATCTCGTTATTCCAAAATTAAATTTTTATGACTCTCTCAGAGTGCATACGTCCGACTATTTAATAAACAGTACCAAATAAATACCGTTTTTCTTCCGATTTACCGAGGTGGGCTTATTTGGGTGGATTAGCTCTCGACCAGAAATACCGAAAATCAACATGGGTATGGGCGGTACCGGAAAATATGGTAACGAGATAGCGATCAGAGACCGCTGACTTATCGATCTAGCTGCGTGTATCCTCCGCTCTGACTCAATAGCGACACCGTAGTTCCATCCCTAATTAATTAATACCTCGCTAATCATTCAACATAATTCATCCGAAATCAATAGGCTTCTGGTTCAACATAGGATGACTGTACATGCAAAATTTGGAGCAGATTCAACCTCGCTTTCGTGAGATGTCGCGCATGCCTTACATACAGACAGACAGATAGACAAATATCTATCAACATACTTGCCGATCGAGATCGATAATTCAATCAAATGCATAATTCATACTCTGATGTTACTTATTTCATAGAAAGCTTGGTTTCTGAAGATTTTAAATTTCCAGATTAACAATTGAATTAATATTATAAGATGAACACGAGTGCCCTTACAGTTGTACAATTTACACGGAAAACTTGAAATTGAAAAAAAAATGAAGAACATACTTTTGAAGCTGCCACATCTGCAAAAATTTCCTGCCGCGACCGCAAAGTTTCTTAATTAATTAATAATCTCCGACACAAGTTCTAAAATTAGACACTTGTGGCAATTCTTCCCAACCGGGAAATAATTCCGACCAAGGGAACAATTTTGTCGTTCTGAGGGGGAAGCTGTGTCTTTTTTTTTATATAACACACACTTCTCATTGAGTACATATTGTGCAGCAAAAATATTGATTTAATTTTCAAACGGGATTGCGACTTGCGCATTTTATTAAAAAGCGGTTCATTAAATATTGAATAGATGAATCAGTTTTATCCATTGAGAGGGAGAGAGGGTTCCGAAATAGGTAAAAGGGGGAACTCAACAAAGAAAGGTTGGTAAGGTCTAAGCTGTTGATGGGCGCCAGATGCTTCCAGTCACTTCTTGGCTGCTTTTTTTATTGACCTTAGCTGCTGCCTGGGTTTCTTCCACATTCCCGGTCTTTTTGGTAGTTTCCTTGATGACTCCAACAGCAACAGTCTGTCGCATGGCGCGGCGGTGTGGCTCAACGGGCTGAGCGTTAGGAATACGCTCGCCATCGCACCTCTAATTACTCTGCGTGGGTTCGCAGGTTCCAATCCCATGCAGGGATGGTTATGTGCGAGAGGATTGCTGGACTCCTCGCCGTCGTTGGGTGGTTCACGTAACCGCTGGTCGGTTACGGCTTCCTCTACCACCAAGTCCATGCTTCCGAAAACAAGCAATATAACTAATCCCATACCCGACTTGGAATGGTAACCGGACGAGAGGCCGTGGTTCGCCATATGGATAAGCCGTCTTATCGGCTTTCCTCTCCCCCGGGATAAATATGTAAATCCTATCCTATCCTAACCTCAGATTTATAGTTAATTAAAATACGTGCTTTCAGCAGATAAGATGCCTTGGCGGTAAGAGTGTTGTGAAGTGTGAACTTAGTTTGATTCTGGGATTGGCCACATTTTCACACGGTCCGCAAATCAATCCCAGAACAATACAATTTAACGTACGACTTATTTCTATGAAATCTATCCTAATCAGTGGTGAAAAAAATAATGTTAACATCTTTTTTTGCTCCCACAACCTTCCTCGTCTGTGTGAAAACCTGTCTTCAGATAACACGAAATTATGAAAAGGAGTGGAAGTTTATTGAAATTATTACACAACAATGCATGATAGACGCAAAATGGCGATAGAGAGGACAATGAAAACAAAAGAGACGGGACTAGGGCAATACCATATCAGCAAAGAGCAGTATGGCCAAACTTCGACCCGCGGACCACATGCGCCATTTTTAGCCATTGGCGACCCCCTATTCTTAGATAATAATAACTGTGATATCATAGTCAATTTGTTAATGCGGGGACGGAGTGGAAATAAAAATTTTTGTCAGCCCAAATTCTCAGCTAGAATCGTCTATTAAGCGGCTCGAAGACAATTGTAATCTTGCCCTCCAATTCAAGGACCTTAATCTAGCTCAGATCACGATCTTGCAAATTCAATCAAAATATACCAAAGTAATTCTTGCTCACATAATTGATTTCGCATGTATCGCTTCTAACTGAAATGTTAGGATGTCTTATGCAAAACCCTCATTGACATCTCGCTTCAACTCCATGTCCGCATTCCCACCCAGAGTGTATAAAGTAGGTGTGCTCAATCGGAGAGATTTCGGTTATTCCAGGATTAGAAGATTTGATTTCGCATGTTTCATTTTACTCCGGGACGATTTCTACGGGAGATACGCAGCTCTGCCGTGATTGGCCGAAAATCATTTTTATATCTATCCATTTATGATGCCATAGTACACAAACTATCTATCTCTTTTCTGATTGGCTATCGCCCTTTGATAATAGTACATGAAATTTGATACAATCACCGGAACCGGCAGAGCGAGACATAAAATGCCCGTGATGGCACACGCACATCCGACTAATTTACCCCCCACTGTAACCGGGTGCATGTCCCCATATCCGACAGTTGTCATGGTAACGATTGCCCACCAGAATGCATCCGGTATACTAGTAAAATGTGACTTGACTTCTCTGTCGCCTTGTTTGCCTTTCCCTTCGAACTCTGCAGAAAAATATGAGAAAAATAAAAGAACCGCTAGATGGCAGGCGTAAACCAAACTGTTTTTGTGAAACTACAGAAGCGGGGAAATTTATCGCCAACTCTGCCTTACAACTGATTTCTGGTAGAGTCCGCCTCCGACTCCAGCAAACACATGACAAACAGCCAGTGGCGTATCTAGGGTGTGGCAGCCATGGGCGCCGATTGGACAGGGCGCAAAGAGGAGAAAAGTATTCCTGGCAAAATGTAATAATTAAAACTTTTTTTAAACTCGGATAATAACGTATAAGTATCTAACATCATCAACAGTGTATCATAAAAAGTCACATACCTGCGAAATAAACTGCGCTTGAGAATAGAACGACTCCGATTAGAACAAAGAATAGCAGAAGTCCTAATTCTCTGAAACTTGACGATAGCGTTTTGCCGAGGATTCGAAGTCCGGTAGAATGGCGGGAAAGTTTGAATATTCGAAAAACTCGAACCAAACGAACTACTCGAAGAATGGCGAGTGACATTCCTTTATTGGCTGAAAAAGAAAACAATAAAAATGAGATTTTGTGCCTAATGCGGCGGAGTGGTGCGACAGAAACCTAAAAGATTGGCAATCAACAAACTTGGCGCAAAGTACGTTCGTACCGTTTGAAGACAGTCCCAAAATATTACGAAAGAAATTAGCAAAGGCATGCATAGCAAATAAAATAATTACTTAGCATGTAGGTTTAATTGACTAAATGACGTGGATATCCGGTACAACTCACCAGATTCGGGTTCCTCTTCTTCTTTGACTCCGATATTGTTTGATGTTGTAATGAAGTAAGGTATGATAGAAATTAAGTCAATCAGATTCAAGATGTCGCAGAAGAATCTTTGTTTCTGGGGGCAGCTGAAGAACCGAAGCGATAGCTGCATGAATAAAATATAATGAAATTATCATGCTATGGGCTTATGGCATGCACATATTTTAGAGTCATTTGCTCAAAGTTATGCGCACTCGCGCAGAAATAAAGGAGACTGATCTCTGCGGGGAGTAACAGTACAACTTTGGGTACTCCCGAAGTATGTGAACCAAGATGGTGGACACCGAAACGTAGTATGTGTACCAGGTCAGGATCTGGGTTAGGACAATTTTGGACTAGCCAAGTGACTCCCGTAGTATTTGTACCTAAAATTATGACCTAACCCTAACCTGGTATACATACTAAAATCCGGTGTCCGCCATCTTGGTTCACATACTTGGAGAGTACTCAATTTTGCGTAACAGGTGCAAGTCTGTCTCAGTGCCGAAAATGTAATTTGAAACATATTTTAGAAGTGAGTATTCTCCATTGTTTAGCATGGAGTGGACTTATGGATCGTTTAACTGAATTATACTTGTTGTGGTTATCCATTGCATATCGGAATAAGCTTCATTCCGAGTTGAGGCGTGACACGCTATTCAAGGAATATTTATCTCAGTAAAGAGCGGCGGATGTAGGAAACAAATCAAGTTAACACTACGATGGCCACATTGGAAAAATTCAATTTAACACTGTCTGGGATAGCCATATTGGAAAAATTCAAGGTAACACTGCCTGGGATAGCCATATTGGAAAAATTACACATAGCAGAGGACATTTAAATTATCTGGTATTTAGTAATCGCTGGTCGCTTACGGCTTCATCTCTACCATCAAGTCCATGCTCCCGAAGACATATAATTGGCTAACTAATACCATACCCGACATGAACTGGTAACCGGACGAGAGGCTGTGGTATGATCAAGCCGCATTATCGACTTTCCTCTCTACCGGGATAAATATATATATATATATATATGTAAATCCTATCCTATCCCTCTCGCTAGAAAATATTCAACTTACTTCAATTGTAAACCAGATAACACAAATCGTCTCGATAACCCAAAACGGATTCTCTGTGAAATGAGGAACCCTGGGACACAAATTATTGACTCGAGTCGCATTCCGGGGACACGGATTCAATTCCGGATATCCGGAAGATCCGGTTACAATAACATTTTCTGGTATGTTAGTTTTTGAAATCATGTTTCCGATTACGTAATTTGATGATGTCACGTATTCCGATACATTGATTCTACCGGATTCAATTTTTATATTCCTTTGAATTCGTTCCATGACGTCACTATTTGATGACGTAATAAAACCCGTGGGAGGAATAGAAATGTCATTTACACCTTCGCTAATATTGTATTTTTGTAACCATGAGTTTTGTAGGCTTGGGACAGTCTCGAGGCAGAATGCGATCACAGAGAGAATAATCGCGGTGATGGAGGCGACCGCTACTGCCCTTGCTGCCGGAGAACTTTCTGGTTTTTCGAATAAAAACCAGATTTTTCGTTGCCAAGAGTTTGCTGGAAGACCTTTTGATTCTCTGCCGACTTGTTCTGACGAATCGCTGTTATATTGACTGGCGATATCTTCTTCTGCATGTGGAAAAACATACAAATAAAATAGGATAGGAATTTCAAGTGTATCTAGGAGAAGAGAAAAGGCGATAAGATGTCGCAATCATATAGAAAAAAAATAATGAAAGATAATATCTTTTGATGCAACGTTACATTTGAATATATTCTGGCCAAAATGACGTGGTCGTTGCTTGATCGAGTAAGTGCAAAATATTCACAATACAATACATTTTTGTTTCTATCTTTTGTCTTTAACCCAGACCAGAAAAATAAACGACACAGACTAAGGAGACACGAAGATAGAGGGGAAAGGGCTTAACCTAGATGAATAACATTTATATAACATGTGTTGTAAACAGCGCTTGTGCCCAGTTATTCAAAATATTTGAAGCGATAGGATATGATTTACATATTTTTCGCAAGGAAAGCCGATAAGACGGCTCAATCATATGGCGAACCACGGCCTCTCGTCCAGTCAGATTAGTTAGTCAATTATTTGTTTCCGATGCATGGACTTGATAATGGACCATCGGTTACGTGAACCACACTACGTCGGCGCGGAGTCCAGCAATCCTCTCGCTCATAATTATCATCCACGGGATTCGAACCTGCAAACCCACGCAAGGTAATCAGAGGTGCGGTGGCGAGCGTATTCCTAACGACTAGCACAATGCGCCACACCGCCAATAAAATCTAATCAAACAAAGGTGTCTCTGAGGAAGGCGTATCATCACACTACTAAATTGTCTATGACCTCACCGTCAAATTCGTATCCTTCCAATTCTCTGAACTTCTCCATCGCGTCGGCTCCCAACTGATAGAACTTGATTTCGTCTGCGAAGATGTCTACCGGCACATCCAGTGGACGACGAAGACGACCTCCAGTCTATGACGTAATAGTTACGTTTATTAAAGAAATTTTTGTGATGTAATAATTTGTGTTGGGTACTAGTCCTTAAACCTAAATTAAGAGACGAAGCGCCGACTCCCGTGCCAGCAAAGTAATGGGCTCAATATTCACTTACACAGTGTGTGCTACGCCTTTCCTAACGCTTAGCACGACGCGCCACACCGCCAAGCGCCTTATCTAGCAATGTCTGCTTCTTAGACAGAGGCTTGTTCAGAATGGAAGCATCTTAAATTAAATGACCCCACGATACTGATCGTAACCGTACATATCTGTTACAAATCATTATATGCTAGTACAGAGACTTGAAATGTGTATAAAAACGCGGCGGTGTGGCTCATCGTGCTAATCGTTAGGAATATGCTCGCCACCACACCTCTGATTACTCTGCGTGGGTTCAAACCTATGTGGGTATAGTTATGTGTAAAAGGATTGCTAGACTCCTCGCCGCCGTATGGTTGTTCACGTAACCGCTGGTCGGTCACGGCTTCCTCCGCCACCAAGTCTATGCTTCCAAAAACAAATAACTAACTAATCCTATACCCGATATGAAATGATTGAGCCGTCTTATCGGCTTCCCTCTCCCTCGTTATAAATATGTATATCCTATACTAGCTTACCTGATAGTAATGTAGAATCGAATCGAAGCTTCTTCTGTTTCGATCGAAGAAATATTGGTTTCGAATCGGATCGAAGTATTCAAGTCGTTTCTCAGGATGGCCGAGCAGTGAGTTCGGGAACTGGTTCAAGGTTTTCAGTTGAGTCTCGTACAACTGTGAGTAGAAAAGAGAGAATTAATCGAGTATATATGAAACAAAGGTCGCATAAAGCAGAGCAATTCGGGGTGCAGTGGCGTAGGGATTATCAAATGGGGTTGTTAAATTTATAATCGCTGGAAAACGTAGGTTTTCAAGTGTCTCGAGGGTCTAAAAAGCTTGTCAAGGTACAAAAATGTGCTATGTATGATACACAAAAATGCCTTTTTGTTGCATTTTAAAATGTGGATGTGGAAATCGGAATAACATTATGGCTTAACCCCAACCTGGTACATATACTACGAGATTACAAAAAAATAATCACACATCAAATCATATCAGTAGAAATTTCGAATCTTGGATTTTTAATATAAGACTCAATATCAGTTCAAAAACGCCAGATATCTACTTCACATCCCTGATAATAAACCAAGCAATGAAACATACCTGCCCCGATACGTTGATGGCGACCCTGACACAGCACGAACACGAGCTGTTGCTGCTCGGAATTTCACCTGTAAAAATGAATAATTAGTTTCAGCCAGACACGAACCCCAATTCTTACTTTGACACAAATGTCGGTTTTGAATCATTGGTCGCTGCATCCGAAGTATGTGAACCAAGATGGCGGACACCGGAACGTAGTATGTGTACCAGGTTAAGGTTAGACCATAATTTTATTCTAATTTTCTTTATTTTAGTTCTATTACGAGTTTGGGGACTAGCCAAGTGACTCCCGCAGTATTTGTACATGAAATTGTGACCTAACCCTAGCCTGGTACACATACTACGTTCTGGTGTCCGCCATCTTTGTTAACATACTTCGGAAGTGCCCATTGGTCTCGTAGTTAAACACGACCAGATTAGTGGATTAAAAAGGCATAAAGAGTCGACTTATGAAGTAGAATTATTGATATATTCAGAGTTAAGATAGACCCAGAGCTGGAAGATCTATTTTGTTGGATTTGAGTGAAAAAACGCCACGTTTTAAAATAACAAATTAGTAATTATTTAGTTAGGGTTAAGCATCGGGTTAGGAATGATTTGAAAATTTGAATTTACAGCGCAATTCGCATTCCTAGCCCTCACCCCAAAACTGACTGAATATTTACTATTGTTAAGCAGTGGCGGAGGTGGAGGCTCTTCTATTGGACACGTAGTGGACATAGCGATCGTTTCAATATTATGTTGTTGTTTTTGTTCTTTGACACTTTTTGGACACCTAGTGGAAAATCTAAAAAGTCGCTTTTCTCTTCAATTACTGGATCAATTGCTTTAAAATTATCAGTAGTTGAAGAAGGAATTTTTTTCTAGAAGGCTATTCCTTTTATTTATTTCTAAATTTTGTATGAATTCTTTTAAATTTGATATTTCGTCTAAAATTTCTCTGTATTTTTTTTTATCTATGGGAACACGGATTTTAGTCCGGTTTTTTGGCTGTACGTTTTGATTCTGCAAAATTCCTGCTACTGAAAATCTGGAATTTGTCTGGATGGTACCGGTGGAGTCAAAGTTACCGGTAAAGACTGATTCGCTCTCGTCTACGTGTCTGTTGGTATCGCAAATTGAACATAACGGGTTCAAATTGACACCTCACCCAGCGTGTAATAAGTTTATTCCTCCATGCCGGTACAGAAAAATTTTGGTTGTTTCAAATAAATATAGTGGCTCTCTACATAACTTTAGATATCAGTGACTGCTTGTGTAGGACCTAGTTCTGAGCAAAAAGCGTCGCAAAAAGGTACGGATAATATTTTCTTACCAGGTGTCGCTGTTCTCCCGTTTGTCTTCCTCGTACTAGTGGGTGTGGCGGGGGTGTGGATGATTCGTTGGGTTTGTTCCTTTGATGTCGCGTCTGTGGTTGGTTTTGGCTCTTCAATGAACACATTATTGTCCAAGTTGTTGAGATCCGTACGAGTGGAACCGCCTGGAGATGCAAAATAATGTTTCAATAATTTTTTAAGCGATTTTTTTAATAGCACCTTTCAATCTAAAACCTGTAAGATTTGAACCTTGCTTGCGGTTTTGTGTGCTCTCCCGATCTCATAATCAGTTTTATTCATTCTGTTTTTATCAATTAATTTCAATTGATTCGGAATAAACGTTTACTTTTGTAGCGAGCTTACAGCGTACCAAGCCTTCAATTGAAAGTTTGAAATATTGGCATATGATCACAAACACACTAGCAATCAGGTTTTGCGTCAAGTTTACCACGAAGCAACGTCGTCCTGAGCTATTGAAATAAAAGTGGAAAGAGAACTAATAGAAAAGTTGCAAGTTTGCTCAAAGCAAGTTCCCGATAAATCAACTTAAAGTGAAAAGAGAACTGATAGAAGAATTGCAAGTTTGCTCAAAGCGAGGCCCCCGAGCCCTCAACTTAAAGTGGAAAGAGAACTAATAGAAGAGTTGCAAGTTTGCTCAAAGCAAGTTCCCAATACCTCAACTAAAAGTGGAAAGAGAACTAATAGAAGAATTACAAGTTTGCTCAAAGCAAGTTCCCGATACCTCAACTAAAAGTCGAAAAAGTACTGATAGAAGGGTTGCAAGTTTGCTCAAAGCGAGGCGCCGAGTCCTCACTGGAAAATGGGATATGTTGAATTCCAGACTATCGGCTGTATCTATTTATCTAAACGATATAACTTCACACTGACCTCCAGTGGCACCACAGTCGTTGGACTCTGCGATCCGCCATCTTGGAGAGGAAAGTTCAGAAAACGACTCTTGTCTGCTCGAGCGCTTCGTTAAGATTATTGACTCTGAAACAAATAGTCATGAACATAAATAAGAGAGCAATGCTGAAATATATGAAGATATAATAAGAAAAAAAGCTTTTCTCACATGAGTGAGTTGTACAAAAACCGCAGTAACTTGATGACTTTGTCACTGAGCGAATAATATTTTTTAAGTGATATGACCGCCGTTCTCACGTCATAGAATTAATGAAAACCCTGCCGTTCGGGATTAAAATGGGCGTAGGTCCTTTGGCCAAGTTTGGCTTACGCATAAACAGGAGTTAAAACTCACAAAATGAATGCCCAGGCCATCAATGCTTGCATTTTGCTATTAAGATATAATAATGAAATATATTCGGCGGGCTGGCAGAAAGATTGACACGGAGACCACTGGACTACCGGTAGACAACAATACAAACCGTTTCTCTGAAGTCTTTTTGACTCTCTCGAATTTCCAACGTCACTACCAACTCTACTTAGTCGTCGATGGACGTTCGCATTCTGAAACATAATTGATATGTAACGGTTTCATTGAACTTGTCTCTCTTCCGATCTTTATAGACGTTTCCCCGACCCTTGACCCCTGCAAGATTCTCCCTATACTTCATCATTGCGAAATTTTCGACGCCAATTTTGAGAGTGTTTTCGAGTGTTGGCGCTTACAAACTGGCTCACATGTTCGAAAATATCGTTTTCATTCAAAACAACAAACCACGTGCCGCTTATATGTATTGATAGCTAATTTTAGATTAATCTATCGCAGTGTTTGCGGTATCAATCATGGATCATTATAACAAAACGAATGGTCCTCAAAAGATACAATGCCAATTAAGGTAATTGATTTACAACTATTTTTTGAAACCACCACTAAAAACTGAAAAATAACACGCAAAACTACCAAAAAGAGGCAATGTTTACAACCACGCTTAAATATCTGTCTGAGCGAAAGAAGTTACTGAGTGGCGGCATAAATTCCGATTGTTACGTCATTGTTAACGCATTGCTGATTTGTAAATGTCACGGAAATAAACAAGGAAATCGATGCTCGGTGAAATATCCATAGCAGAAAAAGTTGTGGTAATTTATATAATTTGCATATTTTGGTATTTTTGGCTTTGAAATAGTTTATCTGTCGAGTCATACTCGACTTGCTTTCATCTGAGTCATGTTTTGTTGGTGCTTTATCATTTCATTTTGTACTGCTTTAAGGTGCTGCTAACGTTTAAGTTAATTGAAGCCTAGTATTTGTGGGTAGATTTGTTTGTAAAGTAAAAAACTAAACTTAGATTACGCTAAAAGATAGGCTCATCGACTCAACTTTAGCAATGACTGAGACTCGTACTTAGGTAATCGCAAGTAATCGGCGATAAAACATAATCAAACCCAGCGTTTAAAACACCAGGTCATGTAAGCAAACTGGTGAAAAAAACTACTTTTTAAAATTCATTTCGTCTCATCTGTAGCAAAATCTTCATAAGATGCATTATGCCGTGCAGTTTTACTACAATACATTAGTTTAAAGTTATTTTTTTATCACATTTGAGTGACGTATTTTCTGAAGTTCAGCACGGAATGCTATTTAGCAAAGTGCTTTGTATTAAACTAGTAATAATATATAACAATAAAATATATGCCTTACCGCATATTGTGAGTTCGGCTCCTGTTTGTTGTTGATCGAGTTACTTGCTGCTACGCTTAGCATGTTCATTCTGTTGCTGTGGTTTCGTGACGTCACCAACAAATGACGTCATTACTGATTATGTAATATCCTTTCAAACTGTTTTTGTTGAAATAGTATCCAGGTATTTTCAAGAAGTTGTCATATAGTTTTAGCTTTATATTTTTTAAAGACCTGTAATATTTGTAAAAAAAACAACGTTTTTTTCGTGACCTTCAGTTATGCGAAATTCACTACCTAAGAGCTAATTTCCTATTCGTGTTCATTATATGATTACACTCTTTCATCTGGAAAAAAATCTATTTCATATATGCCCACGAAAGACATACGCAATGTCTACTGAAGCAATGCGTGTGATTTTTATATGTTTCAACATATGTTATTTTTAGACTCATAAAAAACAGCAAATATCGTTGCCCCTTGTCTGAAATTTTCACTTGTTGGGAAACTTGGGTTTTTAATATTCCTGGCAGTCTAAGAAGCGTTTCAAGCTACAAAAAAATTTCTATGTAGGATGCTCCTTTTTAGATTTCAAAAGAAGGTGTGTGGGGGGCGGTGTTTGCCATGTGATTACACCTTCTGATAATATTTTCTTCTCACTCGATACATGCGAGCTCTCACAAACAACACTGTAGATACACGATTACCAATACAATGATTACGTTTCCGCTCTCTCCGGTATCGGATTTCCTCCCACCTAGGAAAATGTAAACTACTGTATTCTATACGCACGAACAATCAATGCCTAAACTAAAACTATAAAGTCCTTTAGTATCTGGCAACGAGCGATCAATTCCTGCACTGCGGCCACAATGAGGTCGATAAATAAGACTAAGAACATACTTTTCCTTTTAGTGGCGTCTGAGTATTAATGACAGTTCGTATCTAGCCATTGTATGACGTCATCAGTGAGAATTTGGGGCAATGACGTCATTAGCGTTAAAAAAAATTTCCGGCAATGGCGTACTAAGAATAAGCAATACATTCTAATTTTGCCATTATTTGACGTCTTCAGTGAGAATTTGGGGATATGACGTCATTAGCGAAAAATATTCAGGCAATGGCGTACTACGACTAAACAATAACATTCTAATTTTGTCATTATCTGACGTCATCAGTCAGAATTTGGGTAGTGACGTCATTAGCGAAAATTTTGCGCAATGACGTCTTGATGCTATGCAATTACATTCTAATTTTGCCATTCTCTGACGTCACCATTGAGAATTTTGGGTGAAACGTCATCTGATAAATTTTTTGATTTGTGTCGTCGTACCACTAAACTTAGAAGCCGTAGTTTCAATTTTTTAAAACGCTATAAATATAAAAAGTAGAATAAACTTATAAAAGACATGAGAAAAAATTATTAATATTGGTTTTCGGTGTGGAAGCGCCAAAAACCAGCGTTTTCTGAACGGAAAGAAATAATTGCCCAGGGAAAAATTAGGTTGCTAAAAGGATAATTTTAATTTGTATAAGCGTGTAGATTTACTAATATATCTACTTATTTAGTAATATCATAATACATATTTATCAAGTAATTCAAGTAAAGTATTCAGGTAATCGGATTACTGGAATGATTGTCATTCATCATAGCTAATAATAGGTGTTGAAAACCTTAGAACCTGTCTACAAGGGAGCCAGAGATCAGATAAGAAATGTCATTAACGCGATTTTCACGCTTCGCTCGAAACAAGAGTATAGTGAAGGTGTATCACTTGTAACATCAATCAGTACTTGGCAATGCATAGCTGTATACGGCGAAATAATTGCATCTGATTTTGGTAACGATTACGAAATTGTTAACAGTGTTATTATTTGATTATCTCAATGTCTGTTACTTCTCTACTGTTATCTGTATTTGTCGCGTTATGTATTATTTGATATAGCATAGCGAGAAGCTTTATTCGAATTCTGTATCATATTCAGGCTTTGTTCGTACCAAACGTTGAATAAAACTTTGATTTCGACAGCTTATAAGAAAACTAGGATCTTTGGTACGAAAGCCAAAAAACACTTCCGTCAACGCTCAGTCAGTGTTATTTGACGATTTCACCTCCTGGTAATTCTCTACTCTTATCTCTATTTGTCTTGCTTTGATTAAGCAAGCAGCTTTACTTTATTACTTATCGATCTTTAGACCGGTAAGTATGTTGATAGGTATTTGTCTGTCTGTTTGTCTGTTAGATGCACGCGATATCTCACGTAGTTGAAGGCGTGGTTGAATCTGCTCCAGATTTTGCATGTGCATTCATCATATTTCGGACCAGAAGCCTATTGATTTTGGATGAATTATGTTGTATAATTAGCGAGTTATTAATTAATTAGTGAATGGACACAGGGTGTCACTATGGAGTAAGAGCGCCTTTTTTGGGGATCCCCTAACTTTCGATCAATAAGTCTACGGTCTCTGACCGATATTCTCGTTTGACAATTTCACCGTCTGCTAATTCTCTACTCTTATCTCTATTTGTTTTGCTTTGATTAAGCAAACAGCTCTAATTTATTGTTATCTTATCTAGACATCAGTTAGTTAGCTGGTCACAATTTCGCATCACCCAAATTAATGACATTCAACCTTAACTAGCAAATTGTTGAAACCTGAGAACCTGTTTACAAGGTTGCGCGTCTCACAGATAAAAGTCTCCACAAGAAGATTTTCACGTTTAAAAAGGCTCTGAACAAAATTTCTTGCAAATAACATTGACCAGTCTTATCCATTGCATAGCTATATTCGGTGAAATAATTGCATCTGATCCATACTGGGCTACTTCCGGCTTGTACTATTATCTGTATTTGTCGCGTTATTTATTTGCTACAGCATAGCGATAAGTTCACTCTACTTTTGCACATACTCAGGCATTGTTTGTCGCAAAAATTTAAAACAATCTTGATTCCGACAGCTTATAAGAAAACTGCGATTTTGTACAAAGCCCCACGCCAAAGAACACTTCGCCAACGCTCAAATAAAAAAACTTCATACTTATGCAGTTAGGGTTAGGAATGCACATTGCGATGGAAACTCAAATTTTTCAATCATTTTTAACCCCAACTAAATTTTTCTTATTTGTTAAAAACGTGGCGAGGGTGTTTTTCTTAAATCTCACTTCTTGCATTAGTGACTGTGGCTTCGTACGAAAGATCCGAAAACTGTGGTTAATATGTCACCACACTAATTGTATCCGATAGCCTATCATCTGCTACCTGTCTACATTGTTATTTACTTGCTCTGCCCTAGTAAAGAGCTTCTCTTATATTATTATTTTCTAATCCAGATAAAACCTGTTTACAAGATAGCACGAGGTAGGTGAGTGAAACCCGCTGCTTATGCGAGAACTACTCGAATGATTGACATTTCTTGTCAACTTGAAAGGTGTTGAAAACGTAGAAACCTGTTCGTCACCTGTCTGACACTTGTTAACAAAAAGACTAAATAGCGATCGGAGACCTCCGTCTTATTGATCTTTCATTCGCAGCGACAAATATTAGGGGATCCCTAAAAACATAAACCGTGCTTCCCTCGCTCTGACTCAATAGCGCCACCGCGTGTCCCGTCTCTTATTAATTAATAAATAACTATACGACTTAATTCGTCCCAAATCATTAGGCTTCTGGTCCGAGACATGATGAATGCACATGCAAAATTTGGAGCAAATTCAACTTCTCTTTCGTGAGATATCGCGTAACACACAGAATTGTCTAACAGACAAACAGACAAATACCTATCCACATACTTACCAATCGAGATCGATAAGTAGAAATTCACAATTAATTTGAATTAAATATAAATGTCATCTACAGTTTTGCCATATCATCCTTGCACTATATTGCATACAGATCCGCCAGAGGAAGATTACAGAAATATATTTGTCCGTGCGCTGCGAGACTTCCAAATCAAACAGATAGTTCTTTCCAGTACTGCTACAGCATCCTCACATTATATGAATTCACTGACGAAACTGACGATTTTTCATTAAGGGCCATTATACTGTGTTGTGACGAACAAAGTAATTTTCAATTTCGTATCGAAATTCAATATTGTGACGTTGACAATTATCCTTTATTAGAAAACAAAGTGGGTTTTATTGCCTCGCCGTTTATTGCTCTTTCTGATTGAAATTTACTCAACATTTACTGAGTGTAAATTCTTACCCATAACAAGGCATTAGGCAAGACATTTCTATCCACGCATACCTATGACATACCAGAAAACGGGTTTTGCACGATTTTGCAAGGTTTTCGGCGTTTTTCCACTTTTTTTGCAAAGTTTTTGATGATTTTTCGTGATTTTTGCACGCTTTCAAAAGGTTTTTGGTATTTTTTTACGGTTTTCGCAAGATCTTTGGTGCTTTTATACCTGTTTTCGCTAGTTTCGCAAGGTTTTTGATGGTCCACTTATTCGTATAGTGTTCGTTAAAACGTTTTCAACATGCTTTTCGCTCAGAACAGGACTCCTTATAAGCAATTACGGATATTCAGGAAAAATGCTTTTTTTAAACCAGCGGTTCCGAAGCGAGGGCCCATGTCCTCCCGCAGTTGTAGCGGGCCACTATGCTGGGCGCAAAACTCATTTCTTCTTAGTTTCATTATTTCATACGGGTATTTCACGGGGTGTTATCACTTTGTTAAGAATTAATTGTTTGAACATAATGGGATTTGGAATCTACCAATCAAAATAACACTATAAATACCACTGGGATGATAAACAGAGGCCATGAGTACTAAATGTCTCTGTATGGAGCCACGATGCTTAAAAGGCTGGGATCCAAATGTCTAAACAATTCATAACATCTTGGGTGAGACGTTGACCATGAATTTAAACTCGAGATCATTAGAAATACCGTCAAAAATTCACTTTTCATTTGGTTTAGTTTCACAAATATTGTTTAGTTATTTGAATCGAACAGTAAACTATTTTAATAAAAATTTCGCCGCCATCTTTTTTCTCTGTCCGCCAAAAGTTGATGTGAATTCTACAATTTTGTTTATTGAAGCAATATTTTCTACAATGCAATTTCGACGTATGACTCGCTTTTCCAGTATTGATGAAACATGCTTTTCCTCCCCAACGTCACACTTTAAATTGAAAATATGTTATAAGCTATTCAAACTATACAAAAGAGTTGCGCGTGACACCAGCTAAGAATCCACCAGACCTGAGATTG